TTAATTCTCCCTCCCCCTCCCCCCAAACCCAAGGCCTCCCTCCCCCTCCCCCCGACCCGCTGCCAGTCCTCCTTTCTTGCATTAACTTGCATTAAATTTTTTTGTAATTTTGAGCAGAGATATTTGCACTACCATTTCTTCATCATTTTGGATGGAGCAATTATCGAAAATATCCATTTTGGGTGGAGCACATGTTCTGTATAGACACTTGTTCGTTTGCACTTTATAAGTCATGTGCATTATGTTTTTGAGCACTTTATTGATATTTAAAATAATTTTTGTACATTTAGTTTTTAATGATTTTTCATGAACTACCTATATTTTATGAATGACTGAATATTAATGGGTTGCTTTGCGATTTATTTCTATAGCACTAGGATTGCCCATAAAAAATGTGATTATTTATTTGAGTAATTTAATTTTATTAGCAGTGCTTTTACTCATTATCCATACTCTAATCGTGTATTTATTATATTTTGTTTAACTGTAAATGCTGGCAATGCTGATAAAAGCCAATACTGCCTTTTACTTTACAAAAGTATACTGAGCATTATGTTTTTAAACAGGTACACAGAATAAATGTGTGTAAACCGCATTTCAGTGACTTCTCTGAAGAGCTGATTCTATTACTTAACACTTGTGTGTCGGAGATCATCTGCCTGGATGGGAGAAGGGAGGGGGAGAAGAGGGTGGATGTCAATCAGACAGAGGAGAGGAAAGGGGGGCGGATCCTGATCTGAATGTTGGCATGACACTTCAGTGAAGACTGAAGCCCCTCCCAAAGGTAATTTTTTTCTTTTTAACCACTTGCCCTCCACAGGATTTACACCCCCCCCCCCCCCCCCTGACCAGGTCATTTTTTGTGATACGGCGCTGCGTTACTTTAACTGATAATTGCGCTGTCATGCAACTCTGCACCCAAATGAAACTTGTCCTTTTTTTCCCCACAAATAGAGCTTGCTTTCAGTGGTATTTGATCGCTTCTGCGGTTTTTATATTTTGTGCTATAAACAAAAAAAGACCGACAATTTTGAAAAAAAAAACAACAATATTTTTTACTTTTTGCTATAAAACCTATCCAGTAAAAAAAAATGTAAGAAATCAAATTTTGTCATAAATTTAGGCCAAAATGTATTTTGCTACATGTCTTTGCTAAAAAAAATATCCCAATACATGTAAATTCATTGTTTTCATGAAAGTTATAGTGTCTACAAATGGCAGTATATATACTGGAGTTTAAAAAAAGAAAAAAAAATTATACTAGTAATGGCGGTGAACAGCGACTTATAACGGGACTGCAGCGGGCATTCTGACACTGAGGGGGAACTAACTGCCACTGACATCCCCAGTGACTAATGACACTGGGCAAGAAGGGGATAACATCTGGGGCAATCAAAGGATTAACTGTGTGCTGTGCTATGTTTTACTGTATGTGCTGTGCGTGTTTTACTATGTAAACATGCTACTATGTATTTGTCTGCTGTGCAGAGAAGTACACAGCAGCATGTTACTGCTGGCAGGAGAGAGACCTGTGTTGTTTTTACACAGATCTCTCCCCTGACACTGTTCCTTGGCGATCGCTGGGTGCCGGCAGGAAATCTCCGGCTGGGACCCAATGATCTATATCTGTAGCTGCCAATGGCAGCGTGGGTAGGACAGTGCGCACCTAGCCGGAAATGCAAAATCACGTGTGTATATATACATGATTTTGCGCCACCCTGTAGCAGTAGTTCTGCTATAGGGTGGCAGGGAAGCAGTTAACAGGGTGCAATTCTCAGAGTGCAGGGAAGAGTTTTTGGTACTAGCAGCTCACAAGGATTAAGATTAAGCAAAAAAAAAAAAAAAAGGGAAACCCATTCTTCACCTTTAAATTCCTCTATAAATCTCAAGTTGACCACCACTCAGAGGTTACACATGCACCTTTCTTCTGACCTTTTTATAAGACTAAAAGAGCTTCTGTTTGGTGAAACTTCTCTGTACTTAGCAGGTACATCAACAACAGGGATGTTGAATCCAAACTGGCCCAACTCGACTCATCTGAATTAGGGACTGAATCTGGAAAAGTGGAGAGAGCCCTGAGGGACATGAATCAGTGAAAATTTTTTTTCAAAAATTACCGTTTAATATGCCAAGAGTAGGAATACTAACAAACGGAATACACTTACATGATAAAGTGCCTGAGAAGCCAGCACTAGTATGTATTGCCTGTATATTCAGATTAAGATGGCCGACATGCATTCCAAGCCTCTGTCCCAGCCGGATGTGATGTCACCGGAGCCCGGATATGACGGTATCACGTTTTCTTCCTGGCGGTGTCTTCAGGAAGACTTGTGTTTTAGTTTATGAATTGTATGATATTCATTTATTGGTATTTATTCACAAAACTCATTATTTAGTTATTATATGGGGAGTATAAGGTGCATATATACACTTTATTCTACATATTCAATTTGAGTACAGCGCCTATCTATTCATCACTAATGTCAAATCTTTATTAGGAGAGATCCAAAGGCAGGAGCATGTTTTCCTTAATTTCCATGCAGTTAACATCAGGCAACCCCCATTCGGATGAGACTGATTTACCTGCTTCAGGAGGTCCTGAGCATATGGAAGATTCATCAACAGGAGGGGAGAACATGGTCTTTTTAACCAGAGATGAACAAACACTGATTGCCTCTTTCCTTTACCTTCAGTAAAGACTGCAAAATTACAGCAGTCCGAGGGAAGAGATAAACTATGTTGAATCTGCAGTAATCAAATAATAATGTAGAAATGCCTCTTGCTCATGAATGCGATAGCTCCATACAGGTATTGGTGATGAGTTCACTTCACGGGAATAAACTTGAAACTTTGCTGCCCTCTAGGACTGGGTGTCCTGTAGCCACTACGAAAAACAAACACAAAAGGTGCACCAACCTAATGTATTATCCCACTAGGTCTATTAAGAAAATAGTCAGTTTTTTTTTTACAAGCCCATACTTCAACTTTAATATCTATCTGGAGTTAAATTGCTCTTTTTGCAAAAGAACGGCAAAACTCCACCGACTGTAGACTCTTCTACAATGTGTATAAACAGTTTACTGTACACTTTATTTTAAAATTTGATCTTTCCTCTAATTGCCTTATTTAAAGTAGATCTAAGCCCTAACTGGTATTTAATTGGCTAAAACACTGTAGCATAAATAATTACCTTTATTGTATACAGTACATTTTGCTTTCATCTTTTTAATATATTTTGAAACAAAAAACCTAATAAGCATCTGCATGACTGCTTACATTCTGCACTGGATTGAAAGTACATCAATGTGCATGTGAACTAGGCACTTGAGAATCTTCAAGTAGGTGTACATTCAATTACTAAAACCTTGGTAAATCTATAACAGAAAGGTTCACCTTTTGAACATGTTACATGTTGCACTCGTATTTAGGCTGACCACCCTCTCCCCCTGTGACAGCGAGTGGGGATTCCTCTCTCCTGCAGCTGCTGCCACATTTAAAATAGACACGGCTGTGCCCACACAGTTGTGTCATTCACAATGATTTGGGAATGAATACACTACAAGTCCCATCTGTCATGGGCTGTGAGCATGCTGATCAATGTACTCATAGTCCATTCACACTTCCTACAGCTCTGAAACTGACAGGCCATAAAGAGCTGTAGGAAGAGTACGTATGAGCTTGACATTGCACCCATGATCCACTGATTGTGGGTGCAATATTCTTCAGGCTCCTGTGAAAAAATTCCACAAATTCAGCAACTTTGTAAAAAGTGCAGGCACACCGTGAATTAAGTCTGCCACATTGTAAGCTTATCTCTTTTATTTATATCTGACAGTTTTTTGGCTCTACCACAGGATACACTTCACACTCAAGTCTGTGAGAGAGGAGAGAAGCACAGAGAGCAGATTTGCCTGCCTTTCCCTTCTGCTGGCCATTCACAGAAGCGTTTGTATTTTGTGAATGAGTTCACACAATACAAAGGCATCTGTGATTGGGCAGGAGGAAGGGAGGGTTGGGCATAGTAGCTGCAGGGCATATAAAACTGTTATGCCTGGGGGGTGTTTGGATTTTCAGCTGCATACTAATGACTTTGGGCGCTTGTGACAACCAAAAAATAGTAGCTGCAATGACTCTATACTTGAAGGGGCTGAGACAAGCTGAGTCCAGGATTGGAGCTCCAGAGGCTATGCTGCTGCAGTGTAATAAATCTGCCAGATATAATTAACAGAGATAAGCCTAGGAGGTGACAGGCACCTCCTTGGACTTAACTCAAAAAGCGGTTTTCTATATTTTTTGTTATGGAGTAACAATGGTCTATCTCTGTGTTCTATGTTGTCACCCTGTCATATGTGTTTCAGGTGGAGATTATACGTAGTCAGGACACACTTTGCATAGGCATGGCTGAAAGAAGCTGGAAGAAAATCAGCAATGCTGAGATGCAACAAATGATAAAAATAAGTGATAACAGAAAAAAACACAAAAGAAAACTTGCCAGTATATTATACACATTTGGATCTTTTGTAAGCTGCAGTACAATAAATTTGTGTTCTTTGTTTTAGATACAATTCTATGTTGCCCCACAGCTAACATTCAGGTTTTAATCCACTTCTCAGTTGTCATTTAATGGAGCAGGTTGAAACAGATTGGTGGCTGTGAGCAACACCGGTAAAATTAGCACCTATGGTAAATATGGATGTCATTATTAACTGTTCCCAGGCAGAGACATTAAAACTTTTTATTTACAATTTCACAGAAAAAAGAGGCAGTAATTTAATGAACTGCCCCGGAGCAAGGCTCAGGTTTTCTGGAGGCAGGAAACTGTACATTCACACATGAATTAGCCAGGAGATATTAGATTACAAATGTGGCAAATAGTCTTTTTTTTCCTGTCAGTTGATAGGCGGTTGGCATCAGATGATTACTACAAAAGTCTTATATTTTACAAGGAAAAAAACTGCTGTCATTGTTTTCTATATAATACTACATTATCCATTCCTTTTTCATTTGGTTCGCCCGCCAAAGGTTACAAGCTGCTGCTCATCCGAATCCTAAAAGAAATCAAAAGGGTAATTAAAACCCCTGTTTGCAATAATACTTACAGTGAAGGAAATAATTATTTGATCCCCTGCTGATTTTGAATGTTTGCCCACTCACAAAGAAATGATCAGTCTAAAAATCGAACAGTAGGTGTATTGTAACACTGAGAGACAGAATAGCAAAAAGAAATGCATTACAGTTAAAATATACAGTTTCGCATGACAAGCATATGAAATGTCTGTAGTTTGTGAATTGTAAAACGTAGTTAACATACAAAATAAGGGCTCATTCACAAGGTTGTTTATCCCCTATACAGTGGCCAGAGTCATTGGACTACTATTCCTAGTACCACCGAGCTGCGTGCAGGCATCCCATGGAAAGTGAACGGGTACACACTGACTGTACAGACTAACCTGCATGGCTGACTTTGACTGTGCAGGCTCTGCATCTGGGTCAGTCAATTCACTTGTTCCTACAAACCAAACTTGGCTGTGAGGGTGAGTCTGCACATCCAATGTGTACCTATTCACTTTATATGGGCTGCCTGCATGCAGCTCAGCGGTGAAAACCCCCCAAAACAAATGGTTTTAGCTGCTATATGGGGCTGAGCACCCATGTAAATGAGCCCGAAAGCAAACCAGGATTAGTAGGATTAAGGGAAAAGACAAAACAAAGTCAATTAATTCTGTTCGTGTAAAAATAAAGCTGCCACATGTATAGCACATGGTTTTGAAACAAAATGTATTGTATGGCCATGCATTGGCCTATATAGATATAAGTTATGTATAGTATAGTATGGTGTACTTCTGTATTATATAACATTTACTTACTCTAATCTTGTTCTTTTTCATTTTGTTAAAGCTCACTTAATGTATCCCCATGGGAAAAAAGTTACATATCATTTATTTAAAGCAGAATTCTGGGACTGATATGTCTAATCTTAAAACTACTTCCACCTCAGGCCACTTTGATTATGTCATCTCCCTTGTGTCAGCAAACGCCAGATACGGGGAAGAGGAGAGATCACTGACAACGGCTGGTATACCAGAGATGTGATGTCACCAATAGGCTTACTATGGGTCATTCGTTACTGTCGCTCCCTTTTCTCCCCTGCTGCCACTGATAACTGGCAGATGGGAGCCAATCAGGTGTCTGGACCAGAGTGGTCTGAAAACAGGCAAGTATATGCATCTCCTCAACTCAAACTGCTGTATAAATATCTACATTTTTTATACAAGTTATATGCAACATACAATGCTACACAAAATTAAATATATGAAAAATAATTATTCATACCATAACCATGTTTCTATATATTGTTATGGTATGAATTATTCATTTTTCATATATTTAATTATGGATAGCGCCGTATGTTGCATATACTGTAAGGTTCGTGGATCCATTCACATCTAGGTGTGCAAAGTGTGAATCCAACTTTACTGTTTATAAACATGAACACACAGTGAAAGGAAGGGCATTACCAGGGCAAAATTCAGGTACATACACTGCTTGCTTTTTAAAAATGCATTTCTTGATGTACTGTATAAACAATTACAGAGCTGCACTAAGTTGTGTCTTTTATCTGTCTAGAGTTCAGCTTTAAAGAAAATCTTGCTTAATGTAAATGTTATTACATATTCAATCTTAGTATATTAGGAAGGGGCTTTCAGACTTTGTGACAAACTGGCAAGTGTTCCGCAGCATGAGGTCCTGTGAGCACTCAGAAATTTAATAGGAGGATCTTTAAATAGATGATCTTTTTCTTGCCATCAGTCTGTCATGGTTTTCTGCACAGAGCACTGTCTGTCAAGTACAACATGTCATGTGATAATACATTCATTTACACTATAGGGCTATACTACAGGTTTATCAAAGGTTAAAAATTGGTATTCTGTATTTTTTTTTTGTAATAAAATAGTTTTTCATCAAATGATTTTATGCACCTTGCTCTGCACTGTCTTTAGGGACAAGATATGATTAACATATGATTTACATTTTTTCAATTCACTACAAATTTTATTGCATAGATCATTGATTTTGTAGCATGGACATTAAATAACAGATTTTGCTAGATTTTGCATATAAAAGCCAAAACATCTAAAACCAAATTCAAGATAAGCACAAAATCGCATTGAATACTTACAGAAAATGGATGATATACTGAATCTGGTGTGGGCTCAGCTGGAGTGGTGGCTGTTGTGGAACTTTCATACATAGGGTTGGAAATATTTGATGATGGTTCTGTGTCAAACTCAGCCACAGACACAGAGGGTTTATCTTCATACTGTATTTGTTAAAAAGAGAACTCTGTTTATTATCATATATACTCAATTACTCTAATTATACAGTTAAAGGAAATGTGTATCGAAATATGAAGACTGCCATCTTTTAAAAATTATTGCCTGGCTCTGTGGCTTGAGTACTTAGTGAAACTGGCTATTCATTGCTAGTTTTGGGCTCCTAATAGATTCCTCCATGCACACATACAAGGTGGATGGAAGGATCCTCAACCCTGCCAGGACATTGTATTCTGACAGCGGGACCTGCTATTCTCTGAATATTCTGAACACCTGATCAGTAAAAGTTTTTGATATTCATTTGGTCCCTGTGTAACAGGAAAAAGTTCAATCAGTGTATAGTCAGATTTATTGATCTGTAAACCTAAACCAGGCCAGTGACTTGAAAAGTATTGAAGCCATTTGTTCAGTCAGGCAACTAGCATTTGAAAACTATATTTTTGAACGAGAGGGAGATCCATTGTACAAAGTCATGCAGACAGCAAATACAGTACAAAGCATAAATCTAGGCAACTTCACTAATCTCTATTTAACTGTATAGGGATGAAGGTGATGGGGGTGGATAGACTAACGGATTGAGGGGGAAGGAGAGAGGACTCAAATGGGGAGGCAGCCACTGTCAAGTTGGAGGAGAGAGGAGGAACCTGTAATCCTGGGAACCGGAGATTTTCTAGGCAACTAGAATATTCCAATGGTAGCCTATATGCTGCATTTTTCTCAGTACATGTTTCCCTGAAGTGCCTCTTTTTCCAGACTTTAGACATTATAGAGGATTTAAAGTGGTTGTAAAGATTCAAGGTTTTTTTTTTTTTTTACCTTCATGCATTTTATGCATGAAGTAAAAAACCTTCTATGTGCAGCATCCCCCCAGCACTGAGGTCTCGGCTATCCCGGGACTCCCTCTTCTTATTGGTTGAGACAGCAGTGGGAGCTATTGGCTACTGCTGCTGTCAATCACAGCTAGTGAGCCAATGAGACTAGAGAGGGGTCAGGGCCAAGACGCGGCTCCATGTGTGAATGGACATATGGAGCAATGGGTGCCCCCGTAGCAAGCTGCTTGCTGAAGGTGCACCTGACAGGTGAGAGGGGTCAGGAGTGCCTGGGTGGATCTGAGAAGAGGAGGTTCGGGCTGTTCTTTGCAAAACCACTGCACACAACAGGTAAGTATGATGCATTTTTTTTTTTAATTCAGCCATTAGTATCACTTTAAAACAAGCCATCTATGACCTCTCTAAGCTGCACGTACTGTGAGGTTATTAATTCTCAAATATCACAATGGTGATATCTGCTGTGTGTTTACATTAGATAATTGTCTGGCTACCAATATTCTTCTGCAATAGATAATGATAAGAAAGATAAGACTGTACTGCCTGTTATGAAATTTGAAAGTAAATTCTTCCACAATGTCAGCTACAGAGCCATATGCTAGCTTATTTTATTGTGTTTTACTGCTTGTTCCAATAGCTTTAAGCAGTTTATGAAGTGCAGCAGCTGGATTACTTCTGTTTACTTCTCCAACGCAGCATTCCACATGTAGTTTGCCATCGCCAGCATTCTTTTTAATTGTACTGTATTGTTAGGTTGAGCTGCATTTTAGGCAGGCAATAGATTAAATGAAAGCTTTCGCAGCTCGTTGTTGAACAATACCATTAAGGAGCAATTTACACTTTGCTGTACTGAAGCATTATATTAACTGTCGCACATTAACACTGGTCGCATTAAGGCAGCCCCTTCAAAATATGGTCTGCCAACTCCTCAGATGGGACACAAAAATAATAAACACGCAGCAACTGCAAAACATGGTAGTACATTTTCTGCACTGCTGTGTGATGTTGGAAGTGCACTGGTTAATGCATTGGGATTCCATTAAAAATGAAGGGCACCACTAACATTCATAATGTGTGTGACAGCAATACACTCCTGGGCAGAGGTCTGAATGGGCCCAAAGGTAAATCCGAAACCTCTCCGGAAATGCTTTAAAACTGAACAATAGTTAGGATCTTCCTGGCATCCAGTCAGAATAGAGATACATGATTTTCTTCTTTGTGCCTAATGAATAACCTCCTTTCTCTTTGTCTAATGAAACATAAGCATTGTCACAATATCTGTAATTTTCGTTTGCTAAAATAGCCCTAGTGCATGTCTTTATGATCACTAGACTGTAAGCTCCGTTGAGGAGGCTTAAAGTAGAACTTTACCAATAACAACTTGATAAAAAAATGTGTTATTTAGCAAGGAACATACATTCCACATTAATAATTATGCTACCAAAATTATTGTGTGCTGCAAATTGCATTGTTTCTGTTTCTTCTTGCTGGAGGCTGCCATTTTGCTGAAGACCAAAGACCCTGAACAGCAGTAAATTGTTAGGCTGTCAGCAGGTCGGCCTCTACAAATTTGTCACAGTGCATAAAAATAGAGAGCAACTGAGCATGTGCAGAGCAGAGTGAAACATAGTATTACTGGATTTTGAACAGCAGAAGTACTTATTTTTAATGTTTTATGTAGCTATGCCTGCAAAAGCGGCCAGCCTGAAGTAATCTAGCAGGACTTAATTTTCTGACTAAAGTTCCACTTTAAGGTGAACAGTTCAATATACTCTGGTATCACTGCAGAAATAAACAGTAATAAAAACATATTTTATAGTTTCTATATTTAAACTGCATTTGATGGCATCAATCAGCACCTGAAACTTTTAGTGTGATAGGCTGCTAATGATTTTCAGAGCAGGTTTGATGAATCCTAATTTAGCATGATACCTTGTGGTGGTATTTACATTACTGAAGTCACAGGCTCGTTGAGCTGTGTGATTCGGGTCACAAGGGTCTGGCTTCATCCCAGCCAGTAAACAACACAGACACCTGATTTATACATTCCTCTGCTGGAAGTGGCATTTTATAGAACCACACTATCTTTATTTACCACATTCTGACATTTACAGGAGACATCATGGTGTGCTGTTTCAATGAAATGTCTGAAGCTTGTGAGTTAGTAATGGTATGTGCAAAACAAAATAGCATTCTGGGTATATTTTTGTAATTGTTACCTCGTGAAACTGCTGGAACTGGAAATCCTTTCTGCTGAACTTCTTATAGGCGAACACTGCTAATGCCAGTAAAGCAACGATGAAGACAATGCCAAAAAATATGCCTGCTCCATGACCAGCATGCAGGGCCTAGTCACACACAGACATTGCTGAGTAAGTGTATAATTAGTATTAAACATTATTGCATCAAGTACAGCTCATAAAAGAGGGGAATGATTTACATCAAGTAGGAAATGTATGCCTATACATGAAATGTATATCAATAAGAAACAAGATTGGGTTGTTACCATCCCCTGAGGAACCTTTTAATGTTCAACTGCAGAAAATACAGTTGGAGACTACTGGTTGCTACAGGCAAGGAAAACATTTAATTTTAACACATTTTTCCATAAAATCTTCTATATCAGCGCATTTCCTTTTAAGGACAGGAATTGGAATCATTGTTCCAACAACCACAAATTAGATTAAGGGCCCACACTGCATATTTCTAGTGTCCAGGATATCCTAGAGCTGCATACTGCAACCTATAGATGGAATGCAGATATTTGCATAGTGAACTGAACCCACCCAGTGTGCATTTTTATTATATCAGGTACTTATATAGCACTGTCAATTTATGCAGTGCTTTACATATATATTGTACATTCACATCAGTCCCCAACCCGCCCTCAAGGGGTGTACAATCTAAGGTACATACACCTACTAGGGCCAATTTAGACAGCAGCCAATTCCCCTACCAACATGTCTTGGGAGGAAACCCATGCAGATGCAGAGAGAACATGAAAACTCCTGGGAGGTGGTGCTGGAGTTGGGATTTGAACCAGTGACCCTAGTACTGCCAGGTGGAAGTGCTAACCATTTGGCCACTGTATGGCGCACATCACCACAACAGTATAAACCCAACCTGTAGTTCAGCTGAGCTTACACACAGACACCCTTTTACTTTATTATTTAATAATTAGTAGAGATTCATGTTATACTTACTAATGGCGCAGGAGGGGCTTTCAGTGGTTCAGATATCATGTGTATTATTCCATTTGAAGCAATGTAGTCCCATTGTATTATACGCTTTCCACCTACATACATTGTTTGGATCTAAACAAATAAGGGATGAGAAAACATAAGTATTAAGACCTTCTTTGGAAATTAATTGACTAACCTCTGGGTCAGCTAGGTTCTCTGACTCTTTTTTTTTTTTCTAAAGATGAACTTGATGGACAGGTTTTTTTCCCCTATCACACTGTGCAATATATTGATTAGTCACCTTGGCGCAGAAAACCCACTGACAGCGTACTTGCTAAAGTATGTCATTAAAATGTACCGGTTTATGACATCATTTGGGCTTTTCATATGAAGCCTTTATATTTTGGTTATATTTTTATTAGCAAGTGCTAATATTGCTAAATGTCAGGACATTTAAAATAAACATGGTATTGCATAATATTTTGTTGCTAGTCATGGCAGTGTCTGACAGCCTGGAGATTCTGTTCCTAGCAACTGTTTTTTTTTTGGGGGGGGGGGGGGTTTTGGTCACTGAATCATTACAGATAATAGTTGTGGAGCTCAGAAAAAAGCCTTCATAGCATTAAAGAAGCAGGAATCATAGGTAGTTGTATCTGTACAAATCAAATCAACTAGCACATGGCTGATAATGTAAAATATACATCGTTCATCCAGAAACTGGTATTTTTTTTTTTGTTTAAATGTATCAAGAGTAAACACTGAAATGGATGCTTTAGTCTCACAAATATCAGCTGTAAAACAAAGGGAGAAAATCATAGCGTTCACTGCTAGCTATTCTTTTATATAGGATATATTTAAAATATAAGGTATAAACAGATTAACTTTCTGTAAAGATATTGTCGGGGTATAATAGAAACATGTTTCCCTCACCTTGGTTTGGGTATCTGAGAAGGCTTCACCAAACAAAATAAGGAGTTTGTCACCCAGCCGTGTCTGAATTGATGTTCCGTTGCTGAGGTCTCCAAAATATGTGCTGACATTTGCAATGTGATATTCTATATCACGTCCAGAAAGAGTCTATTAAATCAAATTAAGAAATCATTAAGTCAAAACTACTCTGCAGATGAAGAATAATCATTGTATTCTGTCATATACAAATGCATCCCTCTATTTCTAGAGCTTTTTGATTACATATGTTGAAGATATTCTAACATCACCCATCAATAAAAAGTTTCAAAGAGGGGTCAATTGCAAAGGCAGGAAAACTGTGGGTCTAATACATCTAGCATCCAAATTTTAACTGTGCCATTTTTTTCTTATTATTATTATTATTAATAATAATAATAATAATAATAATAATGGCGGCATCACTAGCTATGTCCACTGCCAATCTGCAACTAAACTTTCCACCATCTTTTTGGAAACATGGGGGGTGATGTACTAAAGGCAAATAGACTGTTCACTTTGCAAGTGAAGTTGCACTCTGCAAGGGAATATTCCATCATCCAATCATGTGCAAGGAAAAATGCAGGAAGTAAAGGGAATTACTTCCTTTTTTTCCCCATGAATAGAGCTTTCTTTTGGTGGTATTTGATTGCCTGTGCGTTTTTAATTGTTTGTGCTATAAAAAAAAAAAAAAAGACCGACAGTTTTGAGAAAAAATGTTTTTTTACTTTTTGCTATTAAACATGTCCAGTAAAAAAACAAAAAAATCAAATTGCATCATACAATCACAATTACGTGTAAATGAATTGGTATTCGTGAAAGTTATAGCATCTACAAATGGCGGTATATATAGTGGGATTTTTTTTTTTATACTTTTTTTTTTTTTTACTAGTAATGGTGGCGATCAGCAACTGTGGGACTGCGGTGGGCATTCTGACACTGGGGGAACTGACTTGGTGCCACTGACATCCCTGGTGACACCAATACAGTGATCAGTGCTAATAAAAAGCACTGACACTGTACTAATAGCACTGGGCAGGTAGGGGTTAACATGTGGGGCGATGAAAGGGTTAACTGTGTGCTGTTTTGCTTTAAGCTGTGTGTGTGCTTTCAACTGTATGCACACTGCTTTGTATGGCTCTGCAGAGCCATACAAAGCAGTGTGCAGGAGCTGACAGCGGAGAGAACTGTATTTTTTACATACAGTTCTCTCCCCCCGTTGGTAATGCTCGGCGATCACTGAGTGGCGGAGAGTAATCACTGGCCAGGACCCAGTTCGTGAACAGCTGCACGGGTAGGGCGCTCGCGCGATTTGCGAGCGCCCCCCCTACTCAGAAATGCAAAATATATATATACATACACAGGTGGAACTCGAAAAATTAGAATATCGTGCAAAAGTTCATTTATTTTAGTAATGCAACTTAAAAGGTGAAACTAAAATAGGAGATAGACTCATTACATGCAAAGCAAGATAGTTCAAGCTGTGATTTGTCATAATTGTGATGATTATGGCTTACAGCTCATGAAAAACCCAAATCCACAATCTCAGAAAATTAGAATATTGTGAAAAGGTACAATATTCTAGGCTCAAAGTGTCCCACTCTAATCAGCTAATTAAGCCATAACACCTGCAAAGGGTTCCTGAGCCTTTAAATGGTCTCTCAGTCTAGTTCAGTAGGAATCACAATCATGGGAAAGACTGCTGACCTGACAGTTGTGCAGAAAACCATCATTGACACCATCCATAAGGAGGGAAAGCATCATCAAAAGGTAATTGCAAAAGAAGTTGGATATTCCCAAAGTGCTGTATCAAAGCTCATTAATAGAAAGTTATGTGGAAGGGAAAAGTGTGGAAGAAAAAAGGTGCACAAGCAGCAGGGATGACCTCAGCCTGGAGAGGATTGTCCGGAAAGGGCCATTCAAAAGTGTTGGGGACTTTCACAAGGAGTGGACTGAGGCTGGAGTCAGTGCATCAAGAGCCACCACACACAGACGGATCCTGGACATGGGCTTCAAATGTCGTATTCCTCTTGTCAAGCCACTCCTGAACAAACAACGTCAGAAGCAGCTTACCTGGGCTAAAGAAAAACAGACCTGGTCTGTTGCTCAGTGGTCCAAAGTCCTCTTTTCTGATGAGAGCAACTTTTGCATCTCATTTGGAAACCAAGGACCCAGAATATGGAGGAAGAATGGAGAGGCACACACTGAAAGATGCTTGAAGTCCAGCATGAAGTTTCCACAGTCTGTGTTGATTTGGGGAGCCATGTCATCTGCTGGTGTTGGTCCACTGTGCTTCATTAAGTCCAGGGTCAACGCATCCGTCTACCAGGAGATTTTGGAGCACTTCATGCTTCCTTCCGCAGATGAGCTTTATGAGGATACTGACTTCATTTTCCAGCAGGACTTGGCACCTGCCCACACTGCCAAAAGCACCAAAACCTGGTTCAATGACCATGGGATTACTGTGCTTGATTGGCCAGCAAACTCGCCTGATCTGAACCCCATAGACAATCTATGGGGCATTGCCAAGAGAAAGATGAGAGACATGAGACCGAACAATGCAGAAGAGCTGAAGGCCGCTATTGAAGCATCCTGGTCTTCCATAACACCTCAGCAGTGCCACAGGCTGATAGCTTCCATGCCACGCCGCATTGAGGCAGTAATTGCTGCAAAAGGGGCCCAAACCAAGTACTGAGTACATATGCATGCTTATACTTTTCAGAGGTCCGATATTGTTCTATGTACAATCCTTGTTTTATTGATTGCATGTAATATTCTAATTTTCTGAGATTGTGGATTTGGGTTTTTCATGAGCTGTAAGCCATAATCATCACAATTATGACAAATCACAGCTTGAACTATCTTGCTTTTCCATGTAATGAGTCTATCTTATATATTAGTTTCACCTTTTAAGTTGCATTACTGAAATTAATGAACTTTTGCACAATATTCTAATTTTTTTGAGTTTCACCTGTGTGTATATATGTGTGTGTGATTTTGTGCACCCCTGCCACCCTGTAGCAGTATATCTGCTACAGGACAGCGGGAAAACGGTTAAATCAGCTCAAATGACCACTAGAGAAGGAATTTGCAAGACAAGCTTCAAAACTAATCTAATATTACATTTGTCCCAACAGTCTGTACCCTGGGTTGTTTTTCACTCAAACCATACACATTATTTTGTAAATTCTCTTTAATTCATGTGATCATGTAATTGCTGCAGCTCACAGATCTACCCACTTTATGTTCTCCTAATTACTGTTTATCACATTCTGATTAATGCAAAATGAAGTAATCAATGCATGGATTTTCTTCAAAGGGAGAAACAGAGGGCATTAGCAGCAGATGTAGCTGTGTTATGAACTTACAGAGGACAGATTGTGTCCTGGAATCCCCATAGTAAACCTTTAATTTTAGTCAGACATTACAGTGTGACTCTACCCAAAATAAACTTTCTTTTGGGGTTGAATAGGATGGGGAATGGTTAGAACCATTATACCTGTTTATGCTCCTGCTGAAGAGATTCCCTTCACTTTATGGTCCCATACGCATCTGTGAAGTGCCCTAACACATGTTAGTTTTTCATTGCTTTAGTGCTTTAGGGTGGCATACGAAATGTATGGCTCCGCAATGCACTAATGTCTGCAAAATGAGCTACCTTGTATTAAAGTAAAGTCAGTGTAAGTTCCAGTGGTCATAGGGACAGAAAGTGCAAAAAAATGGCTTCAACAGGGACACAGACAGTAATAAAAACATGCACAGAGCCTCTAACACTATTTTATTAAATTAGTTGTTTTTTATTGTTGTATGTACAGTATCTCAGTTGAAGACATTTTCTCTCTTAGTGACCACCATCACTAGGACAGAAAGTGAGGAAAATGTTTCCCAATGAAGTTACAGACAATAATGAAAACCAAACAGAACTTTGTTCACTATTCACTTGTCCTCCAGAGAATTTACCCCCCTTCCTAACCAGGCCATTCTTTATGTTACAGTGCTCCGTTACTTTAACTGACAATTGTGTAGTCATGCAACGCTGCACCCAATTTAAATTTATGTCCTTTTTTTCCCACAAATAGAGCTTTCTTTTGGTGATATTTGATCGCCTCTGCGGTTTTTATTTTGTGCGCTATAAACAAAAAAAGACAGGCAATTTTAAAAAAAAAACAATATTTTTTACTTTTTGCTATAAAACATATGTAGCAAAAAAATTTTAAAAATCAGATTTCATCATAAATTTAGGCCAAAATGTATTCTGCTACGTGTCTTTGCTAAAAAAAAAATCCTGATACATGGAAATTAATTGGTTTATGTGAAAGTTATAGCATCTACAAATGGTGGTATATATACTGGATTCTTTTTTTTATACTGTAGTAATGGCGGCGATCAGAGACTTATAGCGGGGCTGTGGCGGGCATTCTGGCACTGGGGGGAACTAACTGTCACTGACATCCCAATGACACTAATAAAAAGTGCTGACACTGTACTAATGACACTGGGCAGGGAGGGGTTAACATCTGGGGTGATCAAAGGGTTAACTGTGTTCTGTGTTGTGCTTTACATTATGTGCTGTGTGTGTTTTACTAGGGAGACATGCTGCTTTGTATTGAGTTGGCGGGGGAATCTCCAGCCAGTACCTGGTGATCGACAGCTGTATCCGCCAATGGTGGTGCGGGTAGGGCGGATTGCGTGCATCCCCTACCCGGAAATGCGAAATCACATATATATATATACATGATTTTTGTACTGCCCTGCCGTCCTGTACCAGTAATTCTGCTATAGGTCGGCAGGGAAGCTGTTGAAAAATAAAAAGTTTTGTCTGCAATTCCCGTTTAAGAAAATGCTAAAGCTGGCTCCCTATTGAGCAGTCAGAAGATGCACAATTACCACGTTCTCATTAAGGCCATCATTGCTGGGGGCAAAAAGGGTTGCTTGTATGGACAGGTCACTGAGGTAGCTTACAAACTCTTTGCCTTTCTCTGATGAATTGGAGTATTTGAAGATTTCCTGCAAAACAAAAATAGTAGCAATTTTATCACCAACTTGTCTTATTTACCATGGTACTGCTGCAATTAGGCATTAGGTGTGCAAACAACAAACTATTTTTTTTATAAGCTCTATGAGAGTTAAAATTAAAAAAAAAGTTAACCAGTTGGTAACTATAGTTTTAAATCACCACAGTAAATTATATCTCACATTACCTATGCTGTTCACTCATTTGTTTCATAACCTACCAGAAGGAAGTTGGAGAACTCAGGGAAGGACATGAGCATTTGAAGCAGGTTTCCATTGCACTGGTAGCCATCTCCCACATAGCCAGGCTTGCAGGTACACTGCACATCTACAGAATGACAAAATTATATACACAGTGGCACAATAGAAGATACACATATGGATACATTGTTTAACAGCCTGCCTTCACACACTGAATATGGTTTCAGTTGTGTGCTATCACACTTTGAATGACAATTGCGTAGTCATGCAACACTGTACCCATATTCATTTTTTAGCATTTTTTTGAGAAAGATAAAACTTTATTTTGGTGGTATTTATTTACCACTGGGATTTTTATTTTTTTGCTATATAAATGAAAAAGTCCAAAAATGTTTTTAAAAAAAGTGTTTTTCTAATAAAATTTTGCAATTAAATAATCTTTCTTTATAAATATTGGCCTAAATGTATTCATCTGTCTTTTTAGTAAAAACAATAATAACCCAAATTAGTTTATAACCAAAATTATAATTAAAAAAAAAATGTTTTTTTACATTTTTATTCTATTTTTTTTAATATTATTTATGTTTTTTTTAACATACGGTCACCCTAGCAGTACAGTGTCACCATAGTGGCACTGTACTGCTTGTGGGGGGTGATGACTTTTTTTTTTTCTTTTTTTTTACACTGATTGCTTTTACACCCATAAAGGCTGTAAAAGCAATAATTTCTCCTTCTCTCTGGGTGCATTTCTGAAGCCACTGAGAAATACTGTGCGAGCTGTGATTGGTCACAGCTTGTCACATGGTACAAGGCTGTTGTGAATAGCCTTGTACCATGTGTACCATGTGATCATTCACAGATTTCACAAGTAGTAAGCAATGATGTCAGGAAGTGAAATCTTGTTTACTACTATTCATGTGATCACTGACTGGCCAATCAGTGATCACATGAATCGGGACCTCACACAGAGGTCCCGTACAGCGATTGGTGTTCCGCTGTGTCCTCTGGACACAGCGGGCACCGATCGCTGTGCTGAGCGCTCCCAGGTAGTGCGCACAGGTAATGGATTCAGGGGGATGTTAAGAAATGTCCACCTGCATCGGTAGTGCTCTCGTCCAGCCGTTTATCAACATGGACCAAACGGGAAGAAGATAAAGATGAATTCCAGTTATGAATATTTTTTCATAGTTGCATTAGTCCAGCTTGGACCTATGCAAGTATGTACAGTAGGTGCCATACCTGTGGGATTCCTCTGAAAGCTGGAAATCGCTGTAGTAGGCACTGCTACCCCAGTGATCTCCACGTGCGTTCAGGTCCCATGCGGAGCTGCTGCCCTGCTGCTTACTGAACACAGGAGGTTTCTTGCTCAGCATAGGCGCCATTCAGAGAACGCTTTACATTTTTTCAATAACTTCAAACTATTCTCTGATTGGACAAGGTGGAGATCATGATGGCAGTGCCTCACCTTTCCGCCTCATCCCATCAGAGAATGCTTTGCATTCATTGATAAAATGTGAATTGTTCTCTGAATGGTGCCCATGCAAAGTGAAAGACCTCCCGTGTTTCACAATATGGCAGTGCAGCCACTCGGCACAGAAGCTAGTGGAGATCACAGGAGAATTGATGCCTACTTCAGTGAGTGCCAGGGGGGTTGACCAGGTATAGTATATGCTGGTAAATTGGACCAATGTAACTATATAAAAATATACATACTTGGAATTCTTCTTAAACAAATCTGCAGCATCAGAGTCATTAGTTTGCTGCCAATCCAGAATCCTACTCGCATGTTTATCTATCTCAGGTGTTTGCAGAATGCCTTCCATGCAGGACATTGCAACAGGTTTACTTAGAGTAGTGGCCCCAAAAGCAGGACACACTCAATTGAATTTTCTTCCAAAAAAAGCTTCGTACTTTCAGATTTGCTTTAGAATGAGACTCATCGCTCTTTTTCATGTATCAACTTGATGTACTTGATGTGTGGCCGCTCTGGCATCCAGTGCTGGCACATGGGTAGGAGAATTTATTCTTGTGTGAGCTTTAGGTTGTAACTCGGAACTTATAGGAGGTTCAGCCCTTATAGAAAGGCCACTCTCTTTACCCCTGACAGCTGAGCGGAGTGGTGGGTAAGCGAACAGAAAGCAAGTATTAGCAGCTGGTGGGACTGGCATTGATGTGAATCCTGCGAGGGCAAAGCACAAGTTTATTCTAAGTGATTCAAGAGCACATATGTTTATATGACTTCTATCCCTCTTATTATAAATTGTAACTATACTGTCTCCCTTTACATTGTAAAGTGCTGTGCAAATTGTTGGTGCGCTATACATTCTGTATGATAATAATATGACCATTGTAAAGACATTAGATTGTAAGCTTTTGTGTAACATGGATTAATGTAGATTTTTCTTTGTAGTGTTTCAATTTCAATAGAATATGTGGGCAGTATGCAAATGCAGAGAATAATAAATCCAGATGAAATCCACTGGGAGGCCTAGTTTTCCAATATAATAGTATAAAATGTAAACAAAACTTGCGCTTAGACTCCAAATAATCAGAATAATAAAGCAGCTTGCACATTCAATAGGCAAAACATAAATAATAACAAAAAAAGTGCAGCGCTATCAATGCATAAATCTTAATTATATCACAAAAAGCATTACTTATAAACACACACAGGTGGCAACAGAGTCCATATGGGATCCACTTATACAGGCAGCAGCTAGTGCTTGAAAGAATTAGCCTGTTCCAAAGAGAAGACCGTCACCTTCCACCCAATAAGATAGCCTCTTACCAGAAAGTTTGACAGTCCAAAGGACCGGCCAAATCAAACAGTAAATTAATCCAACTGGTATAGCATGAAATCCTAAGCGCCGGCTCCTCCAGGTGTTATAACATGCACTTCTGCAGATCACAGGTATTCTGAGCAGCAAAACTTCCATTGAGTGACACAACACCATATAAAGAAAAAAATGCCAGCTCATAGTGTAGTAAACTAAAATTCTTTTTGTGATATAATTAAGATTTTTTTTTATTGATAGTGCTGCAATTTTTTTGTTAATATAATAGTATAACTCAGTGTTTCTCAACCTTTTTTCAGTCAAGACACCCTTTAAAATTCTGCACAATCTTGAGGAACCCTTTACAATTCTGCACAATTTTGAGGAACCCATTACAATATGTAAAAAAAAAGAAACAAAAAGTGTTACAGAACGCAGCAACATCTGCACATGTAGGACATCCAGCGTTAGAAGTGATTTATTCTTCCACAGGCAATACATCTTGGCACACTGGTACAGAATAGTATTCCATTTGTTTTCTTCTCCCTCAGTTTCTCTCTCTCACTCAGCTATTATGACCCCAGTGCTTATGGAGAGGGGCAGGGAAGAGGAAAGCAAAGATGATGTGTAAGTGCACGATGTCCTTCTTATCAACTGATGTCATCATTAGATGTCACCAGCGGCTAAAAGTTGTAACGGTGCACAATGAAAACCTGTGGTTTTGTGTAACTAAAAATCTGGCTTGATCCACCTGCTGGCTTGTAAACTATTTTTGGGCAATTTTTAAGCATTTTGTCAAGGCACCCCTGAAGAAACCTAAAGGCACCCATTTTCATCCATTGTGCCCAGGCAGCCTGGTTGAAAATGGCTGGTATGACTTACAGTATAATGTAGCCTGTATTGTGTACCTAATGTTCAGACAGTGATCTAAAAGAAGTGTGCGTCTTAGATTCTCAACACACATCCAGGTCAAAAGAGAAAATTGACTGCCTAGACCACAGTCAATCTCAGGGACTATAAGAAGATGTGGGGCCACTCAATGAAACTGGAAGAGAAATGGTTTAACCTTAAACTGCATAGGGGTTTTTCACTGTCAGGGCGGTAAGGATGTGGAACTCACTTCCACAATCAATAGTATTAGTGGGAAGTATTGATAGGTACAAAAAAACTCTTAGATGGTCATCTTAGCGAGCACAATATACGGGTATATGGGATAGGACTTTTAACATGAACACACACACCCACATAGGTTGAATAGGATGTACTGGTGTCTTTGTTCAACCATACTATCTATGTAATATGCTCATAGTAAATTATGGCAAAAAATACAGACATACAGGTATAAAGTAATTACCTTTAAATCTGTAACAGAAAACATCCCAGGTCTCAGACATATTAACACGAGCCCCATAGTCAACAATGCCAACATGTCCAGATCCACAGTTGGGATTGGGGTATGCTGTAGGATATGCCACTCTTGCTCCAGCCAGCCACCCAGCTGCACAAAAATGGTAGTTCACCTGTGTGAAATAGAAAAAATATTTTTTAAATATTTAGTGGTTGTCAAATCAATTAAAGGCATGCTCAGGTTTTTAGCTCTTTACATGCATGTCTTATGTAACACATGTATGCATAAATAATATAGGTATAATTTTACATCTTGCAATACATTTTAATAAACAGTCACCTTCTGAGCATAGGATAGTTGGTTATATGTAGCTACGGTTGCATCTTCATCTTTGCAAGCTTGTGTAGCTTCACTGTAATTGTATTTGTACTGTCCTTTGGGAGAACGTAAGTGAAATACTCCAACCTTTGTATCTGTGGGGGAAAAAGTATAATCATAAATAACGGATGCTTTATACATAATCTTAAATCTTGTCTGTAATGTACTACTTGTCACAAGGTACTGTGTAGTCAACTCCTACTAACATTTTACATTTCAATGTTCTCAGCTTGTGTTGGAGAAACAGTAAAAACTCAATCTTTTTTTTTTTATGTGAAATATCACCACTATAGAATAGCAGAGGGAGATCTCACATCTTTGTTTAAAACTCCACCTGTTTATTTTTATGTTATGGCAGTAGTAACATGCAGGCTCCATTCCAGTGTAGGGATTAAGCAACAGAGTGGTGAGACTGGCAAGGGCTGGTTTTGAGATCTTCAATGCAACCATCAAAAATGGATGATGCAGGAACAAGCATAATACACAATGGAGAGGTGCATTTGTATTACTAAGAGATTACGCAGGGCGCGGTGGCTTTGACAGACCAGTCAAAGACATACAATACCACAATTAAGCTTTTGGAGACCGTAGCCCTCTGTTGTTGTTGTGCAGAGAGAATAGGAACCTGTTTGTGAGTAGCAATATGAGTGTGGAATACAATCACAGATTAATGGTGAGGACACAATCACTGACATACTACACTGGAAAGTAAGGTTGCACTGCATATACTGTACACTATATTGCCAAAAGAATTGAGACACCCCTCCAAATCATTGGATTCAGGTGTTCCAATCACCTCCATGTCCTGATCTCAACCCGATGGAACACCTTTGGGGTGAATTAGAGTGGAGACTGCGAGCCAGGCCTTCTCGTCCAGCATCAGTGCCTGACCTCACACATCCTCTTCTGGAAGAATGGTCAAACATTCCCATAGACATACTTCTAAACCTTGTGGACAGCCTTCCCAGAAGAGTTGAAGCTGGTATAACTGCAAAGGGTGGGCCAACTCATTGAACCCTATGGACTAAGACGCCATTAAAGTTTACATGCATGTAAAGGCAGGCATCCCAATACTTTTGGCAAATATAGTGTATGACTTGTTCACCAATGGAAGCCTCTGTGGGATTTTGTGTGGCCCAGCAGATCGAAGAACTTAGACTGGCCAAGCATTATGCAATTTTCTTTGTTGACCTTGCACTGCATAGTTAAAGGAGAAGTACTGACATCACTCAGCCAGTCCAGGCTGAGGAAAGATCCCAACTTTAAAGTCAGGATCCACCCCAGAATCTGGAGCGGCACCTAGCCAGCAGCTCTCTCCCCCTCAACAGCCCAGCGCCCCAATGAGTGCTGGGGAGGCAGAGCAGACAGTCACCGCTCTCTGCTCAGAGAGTCTGTGAGCGATCAGCAGTCATGTCACACTTAGAGCTGGTGGGGGGGACTGATGCTACATCCATCTAGATAAGTATTATTTGAGAAAACCCATACTTCTCTTTTAAAGGTAGATCTAAAGGAAATTGAAAAAGAAAATTTTATAAAGGTTTGTCCAGCTGGGCCAGTATACTGATATTATACTCTCTCTTCTGCTCCCGTTCTCTCCCTACCACATTTTTTCACAACTTTCTCAAAATCAGAGAGTTATTTTCCCTTGCATTATTGGACCATTCCAACTGCCTCCTGTGCTCCTACTGTACAAATGCCCTTCCTCTCAGAGAAGGAAGGGTTCAGCTCTGGGAGTAGGTGGTCCATGTTATCAAGGGAGAGATTGGCATGAACTAGGAAGAGCCAGAGAGAAGAGGGGCAGGAAAACGTGGCTTTATTATTTTGAACACAACTGTACATACATATGTAAGAAGCAACTGCTTTGTCAAGATGACATGGAACTGTAAAAGATAAAGGCTAAGCATGAAGCTATAATTTGTATGGAGTGACCATAATACATTGCTGTTGTGATGTATCTTTGATAACACGTTTATCTATTCTTTACTGACCTAGATAGTGTAAATCAGCACATAATGCATCTGTGTGTGACATTGTCCATTATCCTGCATACATCTGTCAATGGGTGCTTTCTTCAATTCACATTCTATACCATCTCCAATGTATTGGTCCTTACATTCACATTTACGTTTGTCCTAAGAAAACAGCAACCAAAATGTTTGTAGAGAATACTAAACACAAAACACAGTAAATAAGAAGGAAAATTCTCCCGGTAGAGCAGACTACCCCCAGTGTGTGTGCCTGAACCAAATCCAACAAATCAATGATTGGCAGCCACTCAGATCAATCTCAAGCTGCCTTGATCCCAGATACTTTAGATTTAGGGACCACACTGTAGAGGTGCCTGGATCTGGCAGTTTGTATTTGCAAATGTATATACAGTAATAAAAACCATAAGTTTGTTTTACCCTTTTGTACAGACAAGCTATAGAAAATGCTGGGGAATGTGTGCATGGTTTAGTGAATTCACCTACCCAAGTGCACATTTTCTTTTGCCAAAACTACTGTAAATTGATTTGGGCAGCTGCAATTTTTATTGGAGGTTAAAGACCAGTACATTTTTAAAGCATCAACTTAAAAAAGCGAAGCTACATAGCTGGTAGAATTGGAACTTGTTGCAAGTGTTAATTTATATATAAATTGTACAATGGTTTAATCTGTATTACAAACTGTTATCAAAACTATAGAGATCCTGTTTATAGAGATATATTTAACACAATAAAATCCAATCACACAATTAATTTAACAAACTAAATAAAGGCACAATGATATGTAATAACCTATCAGAAGTGAGAGGGTTTTTTTTCACTGTCAGAGTGGTAGGGATGTAGAACTCGCTTCCACAGTCGGTGGTGTCAGTGGGAAGTATTTATAGTTAAAAAAAAAACCCAAACTCTTAGATGGGCATCTTAGTGAACACCATATACAGGGATATGGGGAATGATTTTTGACATGAACACAAATACAACTGCATAGGTTGAACTGGATGGACTAGTATCTTTATTCAACCTTACCAACTATGTAACTATGTAAGAAGCTTCTTTTGATTAAGTTAAGTTCTGAATTTCCATATCTAAATTGTGATTTGTTGCAAGACATTACTGTGCTCTGTTACTTTTCAATGTAGGTCTGAATAATGGACTAATATTTGTTCCTGAAAAGCATAGTGCTGGAAGAAGGAAAGGCTTTATAGGAGGAGGATGTAAGTAAAAATCATGATAATGCCAAGGTATACATATTAGTCTATGTAGCACATTTGAATATGGCAAACCCCTTGTTTTATTACTAACAATATAATCTGTGTTATCTGCCTAATCATATAAACTAAGGAAAATATAAGTAAAGGTGTAAATGCCAGGTCAAATAAAAAATATGCAATCTATATTGTTTAAATAAATGATAAATATACACTGTAAAAATGAGATGAGATAGCCATTTATGTTAGATTCTTTAAGAGGGAAACTGCCTTATCATGACTGAGGAATATTTGAATTATATAATTAAAACACTAAACTTTTATAAAACATAAAATTATTTGGCTCCAGTCAATAAATGGAATTAACAGACAATACCGGTCCAGTCATGGTGCAAATGGCATGTTCATGGCACCCTCCGTTTAGTCCATCAGCACATGGGTTAATGGGTGTGCAGACAGTTCCATCTCCATTGTACCCTTTCAGACAGCTACAAGTCACTTTCACACCACTTTGTGAGCACTTAGCATTCTTGTCACATCCACCGTTATTTGTCTGACACAGATTTATCACTGAAGAAAAAGAAAAAATAATATTATTGATTACAATACCACAATTATCTTCTTTAAACTGGGTGAAAACGCCATATCTGAACTCTACTGACACCACTTCCCATATCATTCTCCTTTCTGTATATACACATCTATAGGTACAGTATCCCACTCTCAAAAGACTTTAGAAAAGATGAAAAGTAGCTTCCAAGAGAAAGGTAGGCTATGCACATGCATATTTGAATTAAATAATTTATCAGCTACTTTGCTGACATCCTTTTGAGTGTCTGGAATCTCACCTACTTTATATGTATATACTGTATATCTACACACACACTGGGGGCAGACCTAGATTTTGGAACATGCAACCCCTTTTAGATCACATCCTCTACCAAAGATATATATAATGTGAGACCACAAGCAGTGCAATACAACAATTGATCATATATGGAAGATGTTACCTTTACATATTCTTCCATCACCTTCGTAAAACTTCTTACATTCACAGGTCTTATCTTTCCTGCACACAGCATCTCTTGAGCATGGAGGATTACAAACTGGAGGCAAATCTAAGTGATTAAGGAAAAGGTTATTTTGACATTATCATGTTCAATACTGAAATCAGTGCACGAGAACAGAAAAATAATTCAAAGTAACCTAATTTAGTTTCACAGCGTTTTCCAGTCCATCCCCTGTTACAGGTGCACTCTCCAGTTCCAGTGATGCCCTCGTCACACTGCCCATTCTCCATGCAATCACAGACTACAAGACATAAATGGTGAGCTTAGTTCAGCATTAATCACAATTTATCAATGTATAATACACCTTGCACTTTTCACATTTTTAATTTGCAGGAAGGAAATGAGAAGCATATATGTCAGGCTTAGTGACAAAATGCAATGAAAGAAATATGTGAGCTGCTATTTCTGACCTACTTGTGAATATGCTAGTTTCCTGGCTGCCATGCTTACCCAATGGCTTCAATGCCTTAAAGCATCAGTCCACCATAACACAATGTTTTAGTTATAGGAAGAGCCTGGTAGGTTAACTTATATGTCTTCAGTAAACCACAATACACATAAACAGTGAGATAACTCTACCATAATTCTTGACTCTATTACTGTCCACCTAACATTTTGTGTATCTTATCTGTCCTTGAGTTCCCAAGCTCCTTTTGCTGTATTCTTCATAATGTAAAATAAATAAAAACTCCAACAAGGAGAAGTGGAATGCCTTATAATGGTCTCAGAAGGTGTGCAGAACCAAGAACTCAAGTGCAGATCTCTGTTCTATGAGTTATAAATAACTGTTATGTGGCTTAACTCTCTAAAGCATCTAAGTTGATCCTTTAATAACACAGTAGATTCAGAGTTTCACCTTAATTTGCAATGCTTTGTAACATCGGGTGTAGATCCAAATCCCCTGTATTTAGCATTTTCAAATTCCTTGTCCAAGAGTGCATGTGCATCTGAATGGTCATGGCAGATGTGTGGACATGTGTGTGCAAATGAACATCACTTTGCTGTGAACAGGCTGGCACTAAGGATCATGAACACAGTAAATGACTTTGAAGATGGGCTTTTATTCACATTAGAACTGCTTCTTTCCCAGAAAGCCTGATGTAGAGTAGGAGCTCAATGCAGGTGAAAAAGGTTCAGGTGCAAATATACCTGTCAATGAAGTCTGAAAGATCTCAAACATCTTACATCAATGCATGCAGAATGCACCTAAAAGCAAGCTGCATTTGTCCATCAACACAAATCCAAAGCCTGCTAACACAGACATTAAGGCTTTATTCAGACAGGGGAATCAGAAGCAAGAACACTTTATGCTAATAGAAAGCAATAAGCTGCAGCCAGTTTGTATGTGGCCAGGAATGTAGTACCTGTATGTGCCCAGGGCAAGTCATAACACCTAATTAGATGTAACTGATTAGGTAAATGGTTGCATGAGAACAGATTCTTCCATCCATGCTATACAGTGTGAATGGAGGAATCCCCCTGCTAGGCTTTTGTATTCTGACAGTCACAGCAATTATAACACAAATAATTCCACGCTAAATGTCTAATAATCAGAGAGAATAAAGTAGCTGACATAAAATTGCTGGTAACAATAAAAATAAAAAAACTATATGACATGTAGCGCTTAATCTCTCATAATTGGCATAGATTTAGAATTTTCTTTTATCTATGCTAATTATGAGAGATTAAGCCCTATATTTTGTATAGTTTTTTTATTTTTATTGTTACAAGGCACTGGCAATGGCTGTCAGAGTATTTACACAGCTAACAGGGCCACCAATGAAGTGAAATTTGCGCAGTGTATGGGCAGCTTTACTTTATAAGGAAGCTGACCATTTTCTGAAAGTATCTACCTGTCTGCTCCTGCCCTTGGTCCAGCTGCCATGTAGGCAGCAGGAGCCTACACAGCTACTTCTAAGCAAACAAAGGACTAAGTCAAGACCATCCATGTATTATCTGTGCACACATAAAGTAATTAAAATGAAGTGCCAACTGGTGCAATATGGAGTGCACAATGCTGTAAGGAAAGCAGAAGCTGATTGTGTTATATGCAGGGTGGAAAAGGTTTCACTTCTATCAATATTTGGTGCTCTGCTGTGTGTGAGTTCCTGCTATCAGTCACTCTTCCTTGTCATCAGATAAATGAGAGGCTGTTCACTGAGCCTGAAACAACTGATAGCAGGGGAATACTACAGAGTGTCATTTGAGTAAGCCTTGAGTCTCCTGCTATCTTGCATGTCATAGCCAAGGTGTGGCGCCCAGCAGCCCTGTTTAATAATATAACATCATCTATAATTAACAGGGGGATTAAATTTATGGAACATCACGGGACTATGCTTCATATCTATCTTCTCTGGTCGTATAGGTCCTAACCCAGTAACGACCAGCTGCTTTGTGTTTTTGGCTTCTTTATCGGGCACCAGTCCCTATCTCCCTTACCTCCTACACCTCTTTTTTCTTCTGTTTCTCTTTCTTCCCTCTCCCTTTTTTTGCTTACTTCTCCATGATTCCCATATACGTTGTTAATCAGGTTTAAAAATGCTCTCTTGGCTTAAGTCTGCATGGGTCAGACCATACTTATGCACTAGTACTTTACAGTTATGAATAATGTGATCCAGGGGACTGGTTTTGCATTGATATTTTTTATGTGACTGGATCTCTATGGGTTTATAGCGATATAAGGTAACATGTATAAGATAACACGGTTCCTGCTGTGCACTACATTTTTTTTGTTCTTTTTGTTGTGTATTTTAAGACTGTCATTGTTCAGCAGACTATTTACTGTTGGAATGTATCATGTGCTTTGCTGAAGAGGGAAATAAAAAAACTATTAATAATAAAAAAAAAAATTATGGAAAAAGCTAACCTAATATATCATCTTATGGGAATTTTTTTTTCGAATAATAATATCAAATAATATGTGGACAAAGTCTCCTACAGGCAAAAAAAATCCCAAAACACAAAAAAACTCCAGTCATGGAGAGGTTCATCTCCAAGCTCTTTCAGATGGCACTGAATGATTCTACATATAAAGTAGAAATTAAACCCCAGTCAGTCAGTGATATTAGCATTATTTTGGTCACAATCGCTATACAGAAATCTTTGAGGACTAAAGCAGTGCAAATTATATTCATATTTGCTCTCTTCAGTGATCCAATATCTTGTGCAAATAAAAGGATAAACCTACGTTTACAGTCCAGTCCATATCTCCCTGGCATGCATAGCTCACAAGCCGTTCCATTGAATTCAGGGCTGCATCTGCATTCACCGGTGCCAGCATATCCTTCATCACATGTTCCATGTTTATTACATGGAGTCTCAGGGCTCCCAGGACAAGCTGGCAGAACAAACACATGAAATGACCTTAGAATTTACTGAGAGATAAAAGAGATACAAATGTGTTTAATCCTATTAAAAATAAAATTAATTATATAGTGCATTTTCAGTACAGTTCTTACAAAATCTACCTTAAAATGAACCTGTTCTTTGTGCACACAAATCAACAGGTTAGCTATGACTTACCTTTCGCTCAACAACATATAACTACCTTCCTTATGCGCCTTTGCTACTCTATTTAGCAACTGGAATTTAAAACATAGCCCTGATTAAGGATAGGATTACACTGTGTGGGGTGGTTGTGGGTGCGGGAATCGCAGCTGTTCCTGCACCCGCAACCACCTGCAGCTAAAGCGCACTGATCAGTAGAGACGCGCAGGGCTGCCATTCATTCTTAATGGCACCCCCACACATCTCAACCCACAGCGTGTTTGTGGATGTGGGAACCGCATGGAAATTGTACTGTGCAAAACCACATGCAATTTCCCTAAGGCTGATTTTTTTTCTAATCTTGCAAGCACCCTTTTTTGTGGGAAATGCAGGCACAGTGACCCATTCAAATGAATAGGCTGCTGTTCCCATGCAAATGTGGGCCACAACCCTGCACAAGTGTCAAACCAAGCTGAGTTTTAGCTTAGACAGGGCTATTGACATCCATTGTGATAGTGCTGACTGGCCAACGGAGTAAGTTTAAAGCCAACTTTTTGAGTTGCCATGAATAGGAAAAGCAAAGGCTTGCTTTAAACAAAATATTTACTGTAAGTTTGTACAGTTGATATGCTGGTGAGTGGTGCACTGGACACCTTAGCTGCCATTGTGCCATATGCTGGGTGTCCAGTGCGCCCCTGTGCCTTTATGGAGGGGTGTACTCCCTCCAGGCTAACCAGCCCTCAGTCTATCCATTATTATACATGTGTATAGAGTTAGGACTGCAGAAAATACTGGGGTGCCATGAAGAGGCTGTGCAGCTTACACATGCATTTGCAAATGAGTGCAAACTAAACCCCTGTATTTAACGCAAACTGTTAAACGGGACAATTTGGTTTCAGGCTGGTTGGTAAGTTGAGCTGGGAATGTTTCTTTTTAGTTGTTTGACATGCGTTGCCCTTCCATGTGCTCCTTGCTTTAAAGGTCAGTTATAGATTGGGGCAGTGGCCATTGTAAAGTTTAATATACAGTGTACCAGTACCACTACAGTCACTCAGACCTCCCTGCTGAGATTAGATTGTTGAAATAGGATATCAGTGACACAGGGCACGGTTTTCATTGTGTCAGTTGATTTTCAATGTGAGATGAAGCTATAAAGCACAACTGTTGTGTAACACTAGTAGGAAGCAGAGCCTGTATATAGAGTGGTCAGGGTATGGTACCAAAAAACAAGCCCAGTATGTAGTGAGAAAAAGCTCAAATAGGTAGGTTACAACAAACAAACCAATGTCAGACAAACTGTAACTATGCGGTAGATTTGCTAAACTGGAGCAAACAGAATCTGGTGCAGCTGTGCATGGTAACCAATCATCTTCTAACTTCAGCTTGTTCAGTTAAGCTTTGGCAAAAAAAAAACTGCACGCTTATTGGTATCTATGCAGAGCTGCACAGGATTTTGCATTCTCCAATTTTAGTAAATCAACACCCTTGTAACTTTGCAGATTTGTTAGCTTCATCAACTATAATCTGGCCAATCCAAGACCATTGTTCCCATAACTACTCAGTTGCTTCCTGTATGCTCTCTTTATTCTACCACAATATTTTATTTTGTCCCGCTAACCTTTGTGATATAGCATTGTTGAAAATGTGGACTGTAATATACCTGGACTTGTAACTACCCTATGCAAAAGTTCAATAAAATAGACTTGAGTCAAAGAAGCCAATGCGTAAATGGGTTGGTATCAGGTTTTGTGCTGAACTTTTATTGAAACCCTTGTGAAACTGTGCAATTACTGTATAGTCAGAGATGTGAGGGGAGCGTATTTATAATCAGCAGTACTTGGGACAGCATTAAATATGACCCATCATTCACATATGAACCAGAAAGAAATGTATTTATTTATTTCAGGTACTTATATAGCGTCGTCAATTTACGCAGCGCTTTACATATATATATTGTACATTCACATCAGTCCCTAACCCTCAAGTGGTGTACAATCTAAGGTCCCTAACTCACATTCATAGATACACATACTAGGGCCAATTTATACAGGATCCAATTAACCTACCAGCATGTCTTTGGAGTGTGGGAGGAAAACCACACAGGCACAGGGAGAACATGCAAACTCCAGGCAGGTGGTGCTGTGGTTGGGATTCAAACCAACGACCCTAGTATTGCCAGGCGGAAGTGCTAACCACTAAGCCACTGTGCTGCCTAAAAAGTAAAAAGCTAGAGGTAAAGTCATAACACATACCTTGGCAATCTCTTCCATAGTAACCTTTACAGCATTTGGTCATCCAGAGAACCATAGAACATTCCTGGCGGCAGCCTTGTATACTCCGTCTGGAGCTTATCTCATACTGACATTTGGTTTTCTGGTCCTGTATGGATGTTAAATTCAAGCTGTATTCTCAGTTTATTCAGTAACGTATTGCAAATACACCTAAAAGACTGATCATAGGATGTGTTACAGTTTATTTTCTGACCAGGGCCACATTTAGAACATTACTATCTTTACAGGTCAGCGGTATACCTAGGGTGGGGGAGGTGGTCCTTCCCTGGATACAGCCATCTGTGGAGTGTTCTACAGGTGTAGGCACAGCTAGGCGGCAGTGTTGTCCATGGTTCTACAGGTGCATCTACATAGCAGTAATACAGTGTGTTGACCTGTCCTATACAGATCCGAGCTTTGGGGGAAGCCAGCGAGAAGCTGTGCTTCTTCTGAGGTCTGGTAAGACCTTTTGTATAGCAGCTCTGGGAAGATTTTTGCTGGGGGAGCGAGAATACATTTTTTCTGGCGGGCATAGGGAGGGATATTTTTATTAGAGAGATGTGAGGGAGGAATTTTTTTTTTGGGGGTGTGTGCAAAATTGGTGCTCAGAAAGTTCCTATAAACAGTAAGGATTGCTGCTTTGCTGCCCTTACATTGTCATAATTGGCTGTTTGCTGCCCATTTGTTTTAGCTTTGCCTATTGGTTGCCCATGTATTTTTCTTGTCCACGTATTGTCAAATGACCCCTGTTTAGAGGAACATGGTATTACAATTTATTCCTCAGCAGGCCTGTTACTATCAAAGCGCACCACTCTTATCACCATGTTTCACCACTATGTGGCATTTTTATACTGTATCTAAAACATACAAATATGGAAACATTTCACATATCAGTATTTTTTCTATCTGGCCATTCTTTGCATTCATTTAATTTTATGATTATTGGTGAAAATAATTTAGCAGTATAAAGGAGTGGGGGAGATGTCAAATACACTAGTTACACAACTGCAGCAGATCTTGCATAGATGTAATTCTGATACTTTACACACATAACATTTAGTGACGTTACCTTAGGTTTGCTTCCTGATGGGCACTTTGGAACGTTAAAGCACATACCACAATCACCCTATTAAATATACAGACAGAAGTGTTACAAGGTGGATACATTCTAATAGCAAAAAATAAGGAAGTAAAAGGAAGGAGGAGACAAAAAGAAGAATACAATGTAAAATACTAAAGGTAGAACTTCAGTTAAAACTTTCTCAATAAGTAGAGTCACATTTATGTTTTGATGCTGTCATTGTGCTTGTTAGGCTACGTTCACACTAGCCTTGTGTGCAGGCGGCAGAGAGGCGTTTGGTAAGCGTTTTTACCGCTTCCCAAACGCCTCTGCCAATTCTGCACATTACAGCACATGGTGCTGTTCTAACGGGAGCGTTTGCGTCGCGGCAAAACGGACGCCTCTGGATGAGTCAGGAGGCTTTGAAGCCTCCTATTCTCGTCTATGGTGCCGCTCCGCAAATGCCCGGCCGGTGTTTGCGGTGCGGTTTGCGACGCGGTTGCGGGGCGTTTGCGGAACGGTAACACCACTCAAACTGCTTTATAGGCGTTTGTGGGGCGTTATTAACGCTCGGCAAACGCCTAGCAACCTCAGCTAAACCGCACATGCGGCGTTTGCGGAGCATTTGCCGAGCGTTAATAACGCTCCACAAACGCCGGACCAACGCTTGTCAAACGCTATAGGGGCGTTTGGCAAGCGTTGGCAAAACAGCCTAGTGTGAACGAGCCCTTAGGGAAATTTCCACCACGTCCTGTCCCAGTGACACACCAGTAACAGGAAGTAACAAAATCCCCTCAACTGATGGAGACAGAAAAAAAAACCTGAGGTGCTAAACCCTTTCACGCGCTAAAAGGAAAAGTGCTTTTTTTCTGTCTGTAATCCTGTCTGTAATCCTATTGGAGAGATATTTTTAATGATCTCTTATGTGACTCAATGAAGACAGTCAGCAATAAAAAATAATATATCTAATCTTTCCACTCAAAATAATATTATTTTACCTATTAACATGAAATCTGGAGGATTATTACAACAGTAAATTGAAACTTACGGACGTATCCAAAGTAATTAAGCTGTCACATCGTCCACCCAAACTGAGAGGTGTAAGGAAGCAGTCAATGCCATAAGCTATTCCTCCATCAAAAAGAAGCTGTCGCTGGACAATTTTGCACTGTCTATTGTCCAGAAAAATATCCCCCTGAGTAAATGAAAATATGTTATCAGATACGTATAGACATAATTTATTATGATGATAATGATCACCCTCCAATCTGCACAGATTCCACAGTCGCTGTCCTACTGCTATGCTTATCAAAGTTTGTGAAATAACATCTAATCTTAAAATACATGAATCATTCTAATACAAAAAATTACTGAATGATGAGGTTCAATTGTATTTCAAAATACTTTTGATATAGCTATTTTGAAGATGTAAACTTGTAAAAAAAAGATAAACTTGTAAAAATAGATAAATGCATTTATAAGCACCAAAGGGATTTTGATTAGTATCTACCAAAAACTCTGATGTCTAGAAACATAATAGCAGTTGACTGGGAAACACTACTTAGATTTAAAAGAAGATCAGGGGAAGCTTGGACTATACATAATTAATGAATGACTTGTGATTAAAAGATAAGTAAGAGCCTGTTCTCACCATAAAACACATGTTGCCGCAGTATTATGTGTGTTGTGGCGCATTGTTTTGCAAAGTTTAGTGTAACGCACTGCACACCTACAGTGCACTACAATGTATGTACTTTATAGTTTACTGCAACACCCAGATGCATATAGTCTGTGCACTATGTTGTTCTTCACTGAAAAAAAAGGGGGTCTATTTTTGCACATGCGGTACTGGGTTCCCTAATGCAGCAGATAAAAAAATGCATGCATAACAGCACACTGCATTATGGTCTGCATCAGCCCTTAGACATTGATCACATGTAAGATCTAAGCCTTGCGCTACAGATAAACCACATACTGGAAATGCAGTCCCTCAAATGTGATGTACAATATGTAAGGCAACGCCTTCAGGAGAAACCTGAGCTTAAAAAATGGCTGTCATTGCTGACCTACCTCCTGCCTGCATCGTAAACCTACACCTTAAGGAGGCACTAGCTTGGTGTAGCTAATGAGATCAGAACTCCTAATTCCCAGGTAGTAAATAAAAAAATATTGAAGTTCTTTTACCATTATGTTGGCAGGCAACTATCATTTTCAGAAGGAGAAACCAACAATGACAGCCTATATACCACTCTCAAAATTTGTAAAATTTATAATTATCGGTCACCACAACCAGATCCACAATCATATATTTGTATGCAGATCATTGATTTTATCTTGTTTAACCATGTGAGCACATAATACAGTGACATGTTGTGTACATTCACACTAGTCTACACAATAAAATGCAGCATTTTACCATGCAGTGTAGGGTTGACTCCAGCAGAGATACTTCACTGCACAGCTCAGCTACACTCAAGATAATCCTGTGACCAGGGCTGTGGATAAGGGGGTACCACCAGTCCTTCTCTATGGGGCCCAGGACAACAGGGGGGCCCAGGCAGCTAGGTGAATCAGGTGTGGGCAGGGAGGGTGATTGGCACAGTGATTTGAAATTCCTCCAACTGATCCCCTGTATGACTCTCTCTGCAGCAGCTGAAAGCTGGCTTCTTCTCCTGTCCATGCCTCTGCATGGCTTTCAGCTGCTGCAGAGAGAACCATACAAGGGAATGGTTCCAGTAACTGTCCTCTCCGTTGCACTCATCTCCCTCCCTGTGCATCATATGGTTCCCTCTGCTGCCCAGGCCCTCCTGTGTGCCCCCACCCACAGTGCTGCCGACTTGCCTCCTCTCCTTCCCACTAGCAGCAGCAAGTACACAATAGGAAGGGTCCAGTAAATATGTCAGGTTGGCTATATGGGGTCCGGTGTTTTCAAACAGCAGCCCTGCCTGTGACTGATCAGACTCTCCTCCACTCATAGAGCATGTTACAGGCAGTGTAATCAGTGAAAGAACTTTTCTAAGTGGAGGGAGGGCAGGAGGGGGCGTGTCTCGGTCAGACCATCTGTACTGCTGTTCTGCCTGAAGACCCAAAGCTAATAACCCCCACAGCACTCGAAGTTCAGGAGCAGGAAGAGGACAGGGCAGCTCTGCAATGAATAATTATTTAGAACCCCCCTTTTTGGGGTTATGTATCACATCTATAGGCATTTAGCCTATTTTTTTTTTATTTTATTGTGGTGTTCACCCATCCCTAGTAGGGGGTCACTATTGTGTATATAGTGATTGTTAGTGATTTACAGGCGTTGAACCTGATTTTTTCTTTATTTATTAATTACCACATTTGTGGTTTCACGGATTCACTTTAAGTTATTTTGAGCTTATACATGCGTTTATTCATTTGATTCCTCTTTCTTTTTTCGTAGGTATACCACAAGGAGTGGTTTCACTGATTCACTTTGTCTTTATCCCCCAGTGAGATCACTATTATTTCTTTCACACCAGTTTATCCAGGGCATGTAAAGTTTACATGCGTTTATGTCACTATATTTTTTCACTGGTGTTGTCTTTCAGGAGTTCTCAGTTTCACGGCATTTAATATATGTATATTAATATTGTGTATATTTGTGGATTATCTTACTTAGGAGAGGGGGTGGAGAGGTTCTGGGGTTTATGCTTTGACTTAGTTATCTATTATTGATTTTAAGGGGATATTGTTCACCTATTTATTGTATATTAAGTATTGGGGTTCACATACAGTTTACTAGTGCAGCACCACATTTTACAAGCTCTGTAATGAAGATTTCTACAGAATTCAGCAGCCTGCAAATCATGGGCCATACTTCATTACAGGTAAGCAATGTAACTAAAGCTGTAGATAAAAATTGTTTTTAGCTGAACTTCAGCTTTGAGGTAAAATCTGAACCCATGAAGGAATGAGTCAGAGAAGCAACTTATTCCCGTCTCTTGTTTCCATATTAAATCCATAAGAGGGTTCAATGAGACACAAAGGGGTTGATTTACTAAAGGAACAGAAGTGAACATTGCTATCGTACATGAAACCCAATGAGTCTGAAGTGGATCATAGAACCTTAAAAATTAATCTGACCCCAAATTACAGTTTTCCTTTAACAAATGCATAGCTACTGTATAAAACAGTCTCTAACTTTGGAGCTAAATTGGAAAATGCAGGCATGGCAAGGCTTGGCAATAATTAGCGGATTTAAGAACCATATATCTATTTTTTAACTATATATCTATTTAACCATATATCTATATATATCTATTTTTTATTTAAACCTTTGCAACAGATAACAATAAAACATTGACTTCATACAATTGTCAAATATACCTTCCAAGTAGGTACAAGGCAATTTTGAGTACAGCAATACATACAGAGGCTGCATTGACAGGTAAAAACCAATAAGCACAGGCATCAGCTATCCTATAACGGTAAAACTAGATAAACTGGCCCATATTTGACAGAAAAGACCCTAGGACCTAGGATTCCAATATTACTTAAGAACCATTTTTACACGTAAGCTACTTACAGTTGTAGAATCCTTGTCTCCACATTTCAAACTAAGATCAGAGCCTTGAAGTGTCTTTATTGATCCCCTAATAAGGAGGTCATTAGCTGAAACCTGGAACAATTAATGGACAAATGTTAAACATAACTACAGGTTTCAACACGTGCAACCAAAATATTTTGAAAGGTTCTTTTTCATCCTCAGGTTTTGTAGGTAGCTCCTTCTGACATATAGTATAGGGGGAGATTTACTAAAGCTGGTCCACTCAGAATCTGGTGCAGCTATGCATGGTAGCCAATCAGCGTCTAACCTCAACTTGCTCAATTAAGCTTTGGCAATAAAATTTGGAAGCTGATTGGTTTCTATGAAGAAGTGCACCTGATTTTGCACTCTCCAGCTTTAGTAAATAAACCCCATTTTTACTGTTTATGTGTGTGTATATACAGTAATATATATCTATATATCTATAAATATATATATATATAATATATATCCATGTAGACACATCAAGGTGGTTACCTGGTATCCTACAAAAAGAAGTATGCACTCTGTCAAGCTATGGGGTCTAATATAAAAACTAAGTCTCAAAACTGTAAAGGTTGGAGGAGGAGCTGGAAAGCCAAAGATGTAGGGTCTGGAGGAGGACCAGTGGGTTGGAGTCTGCCTCGACCTAGGCCAGGAGAGTTAGAGATGAGGGGGTGCTGCGGCTGCACAGAGAAGCACAGGATCTGTAGGAGGAGTTCTGTCCTTCTCTTTGCTGCCAACTACTGAGACCAGGGGTAGTAGGTTGCAGAGATGAGCCTCTCGCGGGTGCATGGAGAAGTGCAGGATTTGGTGGAGGAGTTCTGTCCTCCCTTCTGCCAACTACTGAGACAAGGTGGAGACGACGGGGGTGTCACAGCTGCAGGGGAGTTCTGAGGGCCATGTGAAATGGCCTGCAGGCATGAACAAGTCATAAACTGGACTTTGACATTCTCTATAGATAGCAAGATTCAACCAAAATAATTTGTCCCTCACCCCTGCATCTCTGACAATGTGATACTTCAAGTATTGTGTCAGCTTATCTTTGTTTTGATTATTGTAAAGAAAATCACGCTGCTCCTGGGGTAGGTCTCTTATTGCCTCATCTGTTGGCAGGAACAATGTTACTGGTCGATGTACGGGATCATCAATAAATTTCATTAGCTCAGCATCCTGCAAAATACATGAGACAAAACAACAAAAACATATATCATTACATTAGTTTAAATATAAATATAGTAAAATTTTACATATATGTATGCTCCAGTTTTATTTGAACTAAATAAATCTTTTGCAATCAATTCATAGTTACATAATTATCTCCTATCTGATTTTTTCTATTTGTTTTTCAGCCTTATTCAATAATAAAATGCAAGCAACAAAGTACTAATATAAAAGTTCTGTAACATGGCAACCAGCAAGAATTGTGTCCTTGTCTGATTTCAGTTAAGTGAATCCTTATTAGCTGCTATGTATCTGTGGATTACTGTACTTTTCCGATCATGCTTTGTTCTTTACACTGTAGACTGCAAATATTCAACATATAAGCATATATCTCATCATGAAGTACATATGTAACACCCAGGGACTAAGAAAACTATTACATGAATTCATAATATTTTCTACTGTTTATCATTAAAGGGAAATCAGCCAATTCCAGTGGTTTTCTAGCTACAACCAGAAATTGTTTTAGCTAACCAACATATTTTACAGCTCTTTCAACCCCTTAGGTTATTAAGCTGGTTTACTGAAGGAGCCACTGGTTAAAACCAGCCTTCTCTAATCCAGTGTAGCAATACAACACAAAGTACAATAAACAGTACCAGTAATGTAATTTCTGTGCGGCTTTCAAAAACCTACACTCTTTGGATTTGTACTGTTAAAAAAATAGCAATATGAAAACTGTAAATGTTATTAGTTTTCTCCTTTAAGGTAATAATCCAGCAAATTCTGAATGCAACAGCAGCTAAGGTGTGGTAGTAAAAATAAGAAAACGTAGAAAGAAACTGTTACAGTGTTAATTTTTTTTGCCATTTCCTAGAGGTGCTACATCTGCCACCCCCTTTTAGGGCCAGTTCACACTACAAAAACACACTCTGGATGCATTACAAATATGTTTTTGCTTACAGTTCACACCACACACAGTTCCAGTGAAGTTGTGATGCAGTTTGCTATGTTTCAGTATAGTTCTGTGCAGAAAAAATGCAGCATGTTCTACTTTGTTTTTTGCACCAGAAACTGACTGGAACTGACTGCACTGGTGTGAACTAGGGTCATTGGAATACATGGAAAACACTGTGCATGCATTTTTGATGCAGGGAAAAAACGCACTGCATTACATTAAGTGTGAACTAGCCCTTCAAACAACTTACAAGTGTACCCTGCTTAATTTCAACCCTTTGTTGCTGGTCAGGACAGCAATGCCACATTTCACCTTACAGGATAAACAGGCTACACTTTACAGAACTTAAAATATCTATAAATATATGGTGATCAAGCCGTAATCAGTTCATGCATTGCTTATAATAGCAATAAGTCCAATTACCATGTAGTCTAAAGTATACATGGCCATGAACCAGTGCTACTAGGATATGTTGGGCTGGCTGACTTAAGTGGAGATACACCATTCAGACATTAATCAGAGCTGGGACCTGCAGTCAGTAACATTTTATGGCTGCCTTCTCCCAGTTTCACCTGTAATCCTGACATCTGACAGATGGAAGTCTTCCAGTACCAACTTCCTTGAGGTTCTAAAATGTGATGTTATCAAATTCCAAGAGCTGCAAAGGATGCTGATGCTGGAAGATGTGAATAGATGTGTCACAATTGCCTTTCACAATGCCCACCTCCAGGGGCGGACTAACAACTCATGGGGCCCCTGGGCAAAAGGGGATCATGGGGCCCCTGTGTCCTTGCCCAAACTCAACAAAGCCTATGAAAAAGGTACCATGGGCATCTCATGGGGCCCCCTACTGACCTCGGGCCCTTGGCAGTGCCCGAGTTTCCAAATGGTCAGTCTGCCCCTGCTCACCACTCACCATGGCACACTTTGCATCGTAAACTTTCTCTAGCCCTCAGAAATCTGTTTTTTTTGCCACTCCCCATGTCACAGGTTCCCAGTCATTTCCTTGGTCTCTTTGATTTCCACAGGAGCATCCCAATAGCTACTGAAGCTGGGCTTGGCCCTGCTCACTCCAAAACCTCAATTTTACTTATTGGGCAATTTCAATTTTCAAGGTTTCAAGAGAACCCCTGCTGAGGAATATAGGGTTCACAATTGATTACCTCCCCATCTAAAAATTCCATGGCTGACACACTGGTCAAATGGCTTCAACAGTTTCCAAGTCTCTGACTTGAAATCAATATGCAGATTAGAAGTTCTGTCTTTAAACTGACTTTCCAGCACTGCATACTTGTTATTGGTCAATAGCACAAATTATTGAAGCCAGGGACAGCTAAGCAACTAACAATTTCAGAAGCAGGCCAGAAGAGACAGTCACTGTATTTCTCACAGTATATATTTTCTTTAAGAAGCATGTCAACAGCCAAATTACTATGGTGTGGCATTTATATCTAAAACATATGACAATGTCTGTAATTCTGAAGTCAAGTGACAGTCTGCCCACATAGATATATTACTTGAAAGTATTATTACCTATTTATAAAACATTAGTGAACATAGTCTCACAGGGAGGACAGGTTAGAGTGTATAGTTAGGCAGTTTTGGAAAGAATGGTGAATAGGCAGAACCTCTACCCAGCTTTGACCGTTGTTCCAGACACCTTTGGAGAGATTGTGACTCAATCCCTGGTCCTGGTGGCAATGTTGTCACTAGAACAGGAAATTAAGATAATCTTCAATAGGGACATAAAAAACAAAACATAAGAGTTGAGCTGGCCATAGATGGATCGAATCTCAACCAGTTCAGCAAGTACCGGACAAAATTTGATACTTCTCTGGAATGGCTAGTTGTACTGAAGTTGATCCATCGATTGACGTCAGTACAACCAGCCTGTTGGATTTTTTACATGTGATCACTGCTGGTGGCTATAACCCCTAGCAATTATCATTGTGTTCTGCTGGCATTAGCGCTGCAAGAAGGATTCCCCCATCAACACAGTCAGTGTGAATCTGTGATTTTCTTTCCTTCCACCCATGGTGGAAAGTTGTATAATGTATGGCCTGCCTTAGAAAAAGGGAGGGCTAGAACACACTGTCAGGCTTTTACTTTAATCTGTGTACTGTTGCAGATTCTGCCTCAGTTTTTGTCTGATGACAACGTTGTCACCAGAACAAAAAGTATAGAAAAATCTCAGTCAGCAATGACAACCTGACACAGGTTCTAATATTAATATTCAATCCAAAACTAAAAACACAATTCTATGACAGAGGGTAAAATCACTATGGATGTTGACCAGGCTACCTATTTGAATGAACTGTTCATCATATCCAATACAAACCTCTACATTTCCATTGATATGCTTTTAAATATGATCTGAACTTGTATAACAAAAATAGTAACTAATGTACCTGTAGTAATTTCAACATTGTATTGTAGCCATTTGATTCTGCAACTTTTTTGAGGATATCCTGAAAAGAAGATTAAAATAATCATATATACAATTGTAATATTGAAGATCTATATAACAGTCATCCAGCATTGGAGGAGACCTGGTATTCACAATCCCCAAGGCAATATCTGACCATTCACCTATTTCACAAGCTAATAAGGGCTATTTAACTTGTGAAAAAAGAGTTGTACTTAATGTAAACGAAGACTGTACCTTCAGAAAAATAATACACTCATTGTTAGTCATATTTGAAAGTTCTGTGTGTAGTTGAGTCATCACACCCCCACACTATGCTGTAGGCAGTAGGACTATTCACTGTTCTTCCTAGATGTCAGAATCATACCTTATTTAACCATGTGAAGTTGAAAAAAGTGGACCGTTGTTTTTCAATACAGACAAATGTTGCCTCAGCATTCGCACATCCATCATGAATAATCCCCACAATATGCCTATTATGTACATGCCCTATGATTGTCAGCTTCATCAAGTAGCCATAATGTGGTGATTTCTCAAAATACTGCAATCAGGAGAATAGCACATTATGGCCACTAGATGGAGCAGACAATAATATGAAATACACTAATTAGACACATTACAGGGATTATTTGTGATGGCTATAAATAGTCCACCAGACGTCATCAGTGAAAAGAGCACAATGCTCTAAAACTGAAGTCCACAAGCTAAGCATGGTTCACTGGGAATACAGCTGTTATTTGCTTTGTAAGAGGACCATAAGCCCTTGGTTCCACTGCTGTGTTGATACTCTGCAACATCATACAGGGACTTCAGCAGTTCCAAAAAATATGTGGCTCCCCTGTGCCAAAAGTAAGTGCAAGAGATTATGGAAGGGAGTTTAATATGCATCATATAATGCTAAACATGCCCTAGTCTACATGTTAAAATACAGTATATCCAAATCCAAAACATGAAGGTTTTGATAGAATGATGGGGGTGCGAACCCCTTTCAGGATATTCCCTTACGTTTTTTGGTCTTTGAACCTGTTGGAGAGCTACACCCTGTCACAGGACTGTCACAGGACTGAAAGTAAGGGAATATCCAAAATTTTGAGCTGCTGTCAGAACAGGAAAAGTGGGGATATCTTACAATATGGATACTTGTATCAGTGCCAGCTGTCTAATAGGAGATTTCCTGCTTCCTGTTGACTCTATAAAACAGGAAATTGTCCAAATAGGACATAGATAACAACTGACAGGATTTGTCCTTTACCATTTCCTTATCTAGATAAATGAAAAAAAAATTATTTAAGGGTCTCGAAGGTCTTGTTATAATCAGAGACATATCTGCTACAAGGCAAACAAGGCATTTGCCTTGGGCAGCATTCTTCAGGGGGGGCAGCGCTGCCTCCCATGCAGAAGGGACCAGTGGTGTCACTATGGGGGATCAATTGACCCCTGCCAATGGTGGATTGTATTGGGCGTGGGCAGGCTCGGCTCGGGCGGGAAGGGTGGTTTCAGCTCGCCTATTCTCAGGTGGGGGGCGAGCTCTGCTGAGCTCGGGCGGAGGGGGAGTGATATCGGGTGGGGGAGCCATCTAGGCTTTGCTATGGCACGGAGCGGGCTCAACTGTGCTCAGGCAGAGAGCGGATTCGGCTGTGCATGGGTGGGGGGGGGCCGGCTCAGCTGTGCTCGGGCAATGTCTGCTGCGCCCGGCCAAGGGGGCGGTTTCAGCTGCGCTCAGCCAAGGGGGAGTTCTCAGCTGTGCTCGGACAAGGGGGCGGTCTCGGCTGTGCTCGACCAAGGGGGTGGGTTCAGCTCAGCTGGAGGTCCGCAGTGAAATCAGAGGTTTTCCCATATATTTCATAAACTTTGCTCACAAACCAAACTGACAGAGGTATTTTTTTTAGCACCTTCATTACTTCCACAATATACTGACCATCTCCTGTATCCTGTCCACAGTCTCTGACCATCTCCTGTATCCTGTCCGCAGTCTCTGACTGTCTCCTGTACCCTGTCTTCAGTATACTGACCATCTCCTGTATCATGTCTGCAGTCTCTGACCGTCTCCTGTATCATGTCCGCAGTTTCTGATTGTCTCCTGTATCATGTCCGCAGTCTCTGACCGTCTCCTGTATCATTTCTGCGGTCTCTGACCATCTCCTGTATCATGTCCACAGTCTCTGAAAGTCTCCTGTAACATGTCTGCAGCCTCTGACCATCTCCTGTATCATGTCTGCAGTCTCTGACCTTCTCCTGTATCCTGTCCGCAGTATACTGACCATCTCCTGTATCCTGTTCGCAGTCTCTGACCGTCTCCTGTATCCTGTTCGCAGTCTCTGACCGTCTCCTGTATCCTGTTCGCAGTCTCTGACCGTCTCCTGTATCCTGTTCGCAGTCTCTGACCGTCTCCTGTATCCTGTTCGCAGTCTCTGACTATCTACTGTATCCTGTCGCAGTCTCTGACTGTCTCCTGTACCCTGTCTGCAGTATACTGACCATCTCCTGTATCATGTCCGCAGTCTCTGACTATCTCCTATATCATGTTTGCAGTCAATGATCGTCTCCTGTATCATGTCTGCAGTCTCTGACTTTCTGCCCAGGTTGGGGGGCCGGCTCAGCTGTGCTCGGGCAATGTCGGCTGTGCTCGGCCATGGGGGCGGTTTCGATTGTGTTTGCCCAAGGGGGTGAGTTTGGCTCAGCTGGAGGTCCGCAGTGAAATCAGAGGTTTTCCCATATATTTCACAAACCTGGCTCACAAACCAAACTGAAAGAGGTATTTTTTTTAGCTCCTTCATTACTTCCACAATATACTAACCATCTCCTGTATCCTGTCCACAGTCTCTGACCATCTCCAGTATCCTGTCCACAGTCTCTGACTGTCTCCTGTACCCTGTCTGCAGTATACTGACCATCTCCTGTATCATGTCCACAGTCTCTGACCATCTCCTGTATCATGTCCACAGTCTCTGACCGTCTCCTGTATCATGTCCACAGTCTCTGACCATCTCCTGTATCATGTCCACAGTCTCTGACAGTCTCCTGTATCATGTCTGCAGTCTTGGACCATCTCCTGTATCATGTCTGCAGTCTCCGACCTTCTCCTGTATCCTGTCCGCAGTATACTGACCACCTCTTATATCATGTTCGCAGTCTATGATCATCTCCTGTATCATGTCCACAGTCTCTGACCATCTCCTGTATCATGTCCACAGTCTCTGACTGTCTCCTGTATCATGTCCGCAGTCTCTGACCGTCTCCTGTATCATGTCCGCAGTCTCTGACCGTCTCCTGTATCATGTCCATAGTCTCTGACAGTCTCCTCTATCATGTCCACAGTCTATGGCAGTCTCCTGTATCATGTCTGCAGCCTCTGACCAACTCCTGTATCATGTCTGCAGTCTCTGACCTTCTCCTGTATCCTGTCTGCAGTATACTGACCATCTCCTGTATCCTGCCCGCAGTCTCTGTCTCCTGTATCCTGTTCGCAGTCTCTGACTATCTCCTATATCATGTTCGCAGTCTATGATCATCTCCTGTATCATGTCCACAGTCTCTGACCGTCTCCTGTATCATGTCTGCAGTCTCTGATCATCTCCTGTATCATGTCCAAAGTTTATGACCGTCTCCTGCATTATGTCCGCAGTCTCTGATCGTCTCCTGTTTCATGTCCGCAGTCTCTGACAGTCTCCTGTGTCATGTCTACAGCCTCTGACCATCTCCTGTATCATGTCTGCAGTCTCTGACCTTCTCTTGTATCCTGTCTGCAGTTTACTGACCATCTCCTGTATCCTGTCCGCAGTCTCTGACCATCTCCTGTATCCTTTTCGCAGTCTCTGACTATCTCCTATATCATGTTCACAGTCTATGATCATCTCCTGTATCATGTACACAGTCTCTGACCATCTCCTGTATCATGTCCGCAGTCTCTGACAGTCTCCTGTATCATGTCTGCAGCCTCTGACTGTCTGCTGTATCATGTCTGCAGTCTCTGACCATCTCCTGCATCCTGTCCGCAGTCTCTGATCATCTCCTTTATCATTTTCACAGTCTCTGACTTTCTCCTGTACACTGTCCGCAGTCTCTGACTTATCTCCTGTATCATGTCTGCAGTCTCTGACCATCTCTTGTAATCTGTCCACAGTTTCTGTCTTTCTCCTGTATTATGTCCACAGTTCCTGACCATCTCCTGTATCCTGTCCCAGGTTTCTGACCTTCTCCTGAGATGGAGCTCTAATAGGGAGAGGTGGAGCCTAAAGAGGAAGGGTCAGGGTTTACAAATCCAGGGGTGGGGAAAATATAGATGGGGGGGGGGGGGGGGGGGACAATTTTAGTCTTGCCTAGGGCAGCACAAAACCAAAATACACCACTGGTTATAATGCATCTTATTAATAAATGACAAACCAGTCAGATGGAAATCATCCAGGACTACTTCATTGTTAGGTCTTGGGACCACTTGCCCAGGGATACCCTCAGTGCAGCTGGGTGAAGAAGATTCATCCCGGGTCTGAGAAGGTACATCAAGGGGACTTCAGTGCTCCTTAAAAAGGCTGCGTTCCATTTTTTTGCTAATCAGCGTTTTTGTACAGTATTGTTGCTAAGAAGTTTGTCCTCAGGCTTACAGTTCCTTTGGTATCCCATATACCCCTAGACCCCATCTAAGTTGTTAACCGCCTAATAAAAACAACTAAAAAAAAAACAGCTCAAGGACCATTTACTGACTATAAGTGGACAAGAGCAAGTGGAAAATGCGTGATGCCTGGTCGTGCAAAGCTTAAGGGGACCCAAACAAATCCAGAAACCCTTGAGAAGGTAGTGCTACATATGTAAATTGTGCATTCCATAGTATGGTAGGTTTTAGGCTTCTAGATATAAAATAAGGTTCATAAAACATAAAACAGTGCTATTAAACCTTTGTATTTTTAATAAAAAAAAACATGTCATATTGCATTATGCAATAATTTTGCACACAGCAGCCCTGGTCCTCCTCTTCTGGGGCCCCCAGCCAGCACTCCTGGCTCCTCCCCCCTTCCGAGTACCCCATCAGCAAGCCGCTTGCTAAGGGGGGTACTCATGCAGGCTCATTCCCAAGTCTCCGCTTCCTCATCAAAGGATTTGATTGACAGCAGCAGGAGCCAATGGCTCCCGTCCACTTCTATCAATCTGACCTGTGAGGAGGGAGAAAGCAGAACAAGCCGCTGCTCTTGTGCACAGAGCTGGATTGAGATCGAGCTCAGGTAAGTATTAGGGTGAGGGACTTGGGGGATCCTGGACACAGAAGGTTTTTTTTTACGTTAATGCAGAGAGTGCATTAAGGTGAAAAAACCTAGGCCCTTACAACCACTTTAAAAACATCTGCCTTAGATAGGAATAGAGCTAGTATTTTGAGGGTGAAGTCCACACTTTTTGTGGTGTTCATTCACAGTATATTTAAGTAAAAAAAGTGGTTTGGGTGCCGACTGAGTGATAGGGTTGAAATAAATAGTAAATATCTTCTGCCTATGAATCCACCTTATCTAAATTCTCATACTTGGTGCATCAGTTCATTCACTGCAAATATGCATACAGCAACAATTTAGTGCTTACATAAGATGTGGTAGATCTCTGCTGCATTTTCTTAGGAGCAAGAACTTTATCAATTAAGTGTACCACGCCATTAGTTAGGACAATCATCTCTTCCCCTGATACTAACTTGGCATCTCCATTCAGGACAAAAGTATTCTGAAAGAGAAAAGAAGAATGATCTTCTGAGCAAAACCATAACTATCACATGAACACCAACATCAATTATTACAGCGGAACTTCACTCTGTCAATCAACACTGACTATTTTTAATCCTTATGCTGCTAGTATTAGTAAAAAGATAAGAACGTATATCATATTTACTTGTTTTATTTTATTGTTTTTATTTCTTTGGTTACTTCCTGATATCCATGCCTAGGCAAATTATGCCATACATCCTAGAAGTTTCAGAAGGGTGGGGGGTAATTTTCTCTTTTCTTACCTAAGCACACTTGCCTGCCTGCATGCCTGAGCTAAGGGCAGATGGATCCCAATCAATAAATGCTACATGAATCATCTGCCCTTGTTCAAGATGGCCAGAAATGCCAGATGGTGGTTTTTGTAGTGATTTTTCGCCAAAATAAAGCCTGCAGACATGGATGGATGGATGAGATTGCTTTGAGTATTAGAATTGAATTAAATAACATTTTTGATTTGTGGTGCTCAGATGTAGTGTTGTGTAGTTCCGCTTTAAACAAATAGAAAAAAATAAGCATTCAAAAGTACTTAAAGAGGACCAATCATGTAAAATGTTAAAATCTACCTTTAATATTGCTGGAAAAGAAGAAGCTTCTCATTTAAAAGGACACAGTGCCTTGCAATTACACAGCAAGTTGGCTTAAAGTATATGAAAACCCAAATTCAAAAATCTGATATATACATGCTTTTTGCCCTAGAATCTATGTGCTTTTTTTCTTAATTGTGTTCCTTATTGTTTATTATTTTACATGGTGATCCAGAAATAACCTTCTCCAGGACGTCCTGACAACAAGGGTCATATCTAGATATCATGCTGCCCTAGGCACGATTGAGTGATAATGCCCTTTTGTTCACACTTTGCCTCGAGTCATGTAATTATTTAAAAAAAAAAAAATTAGATTAAGCTTTTGGAAGGTGACACTGTCTGCTTCCTATGCAGTGCAACTATTCAGCTTTACAGACCACTAATTAATTTTTTAAACTATGGTGAGCCTTCTGTACCCTCCTTAGCCCCACAGTGCTCTTGTGAATTTAGCCACAGATGGTCTAAGCTGATAAAAACAAAATTTGAAAACAGTTTTCACAATTTTGTAGATTTTGAGGCATCGCTGGCCCCATAATTACCATTATGGTAAATACAGTCCTGGGAACAATGCTTGTTGCCGCTCGTGAAGCATGCTCCAAATCAGAACTACAAGCTGATATGCAGGTGCACAGTTCAATTCGAAGCCATGGCACAGAGACCAGAACACTCATTACCTGAGAAGATGCTACTGTCACCTTTTCACCCTGCAGGGAAGTAAATGATGTAATTGTTGAAAAGTCATCCTTGGTGAACTGGGCACAAGCCACAATGTGATACAAAAGAACCTGCTCCATCATCCCTTTACTAGTCCACTCATTTGTCTGTACAGTAAAAAAAAATAAGAAGTTCATAGAAATACCATCATAGACACAAATAAATATGCAGATGTACAGTATGTGCTTAAAATGTTGTTTAATTTTACCCGTGGATCATTCTTCAAAGCATCATTGGTGGGAACAAACACAGTGAATGGGCCAGGTGTTGAAAGTTCATTAAGAACATTTGCCTACAGAAGATAAATGACAACATGCTTCAATGTACAGATAGAAAACAATCAGTCATACAGATGCATACATCTCTCAAATAGAAGGAGTTGTGCACTGTCCGGCTAAATTTTCTTTCTACTCTCATACATGGCAAGACAGACCCCAAAGCTTGCTTTACAAGACTACTGGGGCAGATTTACTATAGGTAGTCTATATAGTATAGATTGTTCACTCTGCAAGGGAATTTCACCTTGCATGGAATTTTGGTGTATTTAGCTTATTGAATGTGGTGGAAACTTAATTTGCAAAAAATACCCATTCATGTGCAAAGAAAATTTTAAAAAAACCTGTGTTTTTGCTTACACATGATTGGGTGAATGTTGTCTTCAGAGCTTCACCTCATTCATTAAGCTAAGGGAAAATTCCCTTGCAAAGTGAACAGCCTATACATGCATCTATGTTGGCGAAAGTTGGTCTATTCTGAGGGACAAGTCAAAAACAACTAGTAAGGAAATACAGTGTAACTAATAACATAAATGATGGGAGATAGTTTAACATAGAAGCATTAAATTACCATAATCATTGCATAAGAAAAAGATTAAAAGGCACATTTATCAGTTTTTCTCAACTTTTTTTCAGTTAAGGCACCCTCCAAAATTATGCATAATCTTGAGGTACCCTTTAAAATAATGGATAATCTCAGGATGCTCCATTCTAAAATATAAAAAAACTAAACTAATACGGTAGTTTTACATAACGCAGCAACATCCACACATGTAGGACACCCAGCATTAGAGGTGCTGTGCAGGCACCCCCCTTCTTTTCAGCTGCTGACATCTTTAGATAGGATGTCGGTGGCTAGAAGGTTGAAGTGGTACACACTGAAAACCTTTGGCTTTGTCCAAAAGGCAGGCTCGATCCACCCACTGACTGGTATACAATTTATGTGCACTTTAGGTATTTTTCCAAGGCACCCCTGAAGAAACCTGAAGGCACTCCAGGATGCCTTGACACCCTGGTTGAAAAAATCTGCCATAGATCATACTTAGAAATCACCAAGGTAAGTAACCTTGACATAAAACTACTAGATCAAACATCTTTTAACTGTAGACAATACAGTTATATAAAATGCTGAATATTGCTCTAGGCACATAAAAAAATCTTCTACTCTTTATGCCTGTGACTAATGCTCAGTCCACACTATTGAGGGTCGTGCAGCCAGCGTTTGCTCGGGCACAGCAGCCCATTAATTTTTTTTTTTAAAAACGGGGCCACAGGGAATCCACATGGTCCTTTTGACCATTCATTCTGAATGGCACCCCTGTGCGTCTTGTAAGAGCAGCATGATTCAGCTGCAGGTGATTACGGGTGTGGGAACAGATGCAATTCCTGCACCTGCTACCAGCTTGCATTGTGTTATCCAAGGCTTAATGTAAAATCTAACTTCTTGATCACATGAATAACCCTTGCAGAGGAGGATCTTAATATCACACTTTAAAGTAAATCTAAATCCAAATCTTTTTATTTATTTTTTTTTTTTGGACAGAGTAGGGAGTGGTCAAAACTCCTATCAGGTTTTTCCCATTTCACATTCTGTGAAGACAACAGGAATTTAGAAAGAATTTCTTCAAAATAAATGCCATCCCCTCTCAGTACTCACTAGAACAAGAGTCCTCATTGGAAGATTTTCCCTCTCTTGCAATTGTGATCACAATGCAAAATTTTTAGTCCCAGTAACAACAGTCACTAGGACAAACAGAGAAGGTAAATCTCAGCAGGAACACAGCCAGCTAAGAAAAACCTCACGGGTTCAAACCCCTCACCGCACCAAAATGAAAACAATTAAATTTGGCTAGTCACACTTTAATTATTACTTAGCCAAGGTGACATCAATACCTGCAGTAAATAGAAAAAATTTGATGTGTTTGTGTTTTTCCGCAGTTCCTAAAAGAAAAATAGAGGTAAATTAATGCATTTACATTTTATGCAGTCATAACATGAGCACTAACAATTATGTCATTACAAAAAATACCATTATGGTTATAATTATTATTCCTACTGCATACTTTTTTTAATGACTTTTACTTTCTGTGGTGATGGAAGGGAGAACTTATAATTTGCACAAATCCAGGACTTCCTTTATGCCTAAAATGATCAGCAGACGCTGAAAACAACTAGTGAGCTATTGAGGACAAAGTAGTTCATTGGAATAACAAGGTCAAAAGTTTTTTCCCTGCACTGCTGTCCCCCTAATTCTTCACAGCTTATGTTCACAGCACTGTTTCCTAAATGAGTACTGACTATGCTGGCAGTTCTTCTACTTTCTGTCCTTGACTGAGGCACACTTTTTGTTCACATCAAGGACAGTATAACCCCATTTGACACTGCCAGATGCCACATAGAGATGTCCATCGGGGCCCCAGGATCTGTAGTTACACCCCTGTATCCATGTGTCAGTGTTCAAAAGATTTTTATGAAATTGATACGCTATTATTGTGAAGGCTACATACCTCATAGATGTTTCCCTTGCATATTATTCCATCTCCAATGTAACTAGACTTGCATGTGCAAGTTCTTTCTGCTGGGCCAGTATGATTACATGTGGCATACTCACTACAGCCACCATTTTTCTTTAAAAACATAAAAATAAAAAGATTTAGTATGAAATGTATCGAAAATGTAAAGCATTTACCTGTATGTACTGAAATTATGAAAATGAACTGGTCATGTAACATTATTATAGTTGTTGATGCTATTCAGAATGTTCTTGGGTTTCTGGAGAGCAAAAACCAAAACTAAATCTCTATTTCTATGGACTACATTACTGTTTTTCTCCATTATATTTAAAAATAAGTGTCGTAGCCTCATCACAATAAAGAAGTCATTCAAATGTAAACTGCAAAAAATATAAAAATTAGAACAATACTTTGGGACAGCATAACGGATTAGTGGTTAGCACTTCTTCTTTGGAGCACTAGGGTCTTCAATTCAAACCCCAGCCAGGATAGCTGGAGCATGTGTTTGTGTGGCCTCCAGGTATTCCAGCTTCTTCCAACATGGTGGTAGATTAATTGACTCCTGTCTTAATTGGTCCTAGCAGGGTATGTATACATGTGAAGTACAGACCTTAGATTGTAAGCCTTGAGGGTTGGACAAATGTACAATGTGTAACTTGCTGGTGCTACATAAAATACCAGTAATAATAAACTTAGAAAATATACTCACAGTTAAACATGGATTTATAGGCTTGCATTTTTGACCATCTCCACTATATCCTTGTAAGCAATTACAGACAGACTAAAAGAGAAAATATTATTTTTACTACCGAATTCAAATGCAGATTAACAACCATATGTTTTTTATTTTTGTGTTACAACATTTATATTTTAACTTTGACTATGTACAAGCATCTTTAACCCTAACTCCATTTTCTTTTAGCTTTGGATAGAATAGGGAAGGGTTTAGAACCAATGCTTGGGTTTATTTCTGTCTGGGTGCCTTTTGGGGTTATTAAAGCCTAAGTGTAACTAAAAAATCAAGATATCTGGATGGAGGGGGGCAGGGTTATCAATCATCTGCCCATCTTCAGTTCTTAGATTCGTTTTCATTCATAGAAGCTGCAGTAGTAGTAGTTTCTATGAATGGAACAGCTGGGCATAAGAAGTCGGTTGATGAAACCCTGCTCCACCAGAAGATTAGGGTGGTGCAGGCCATAGGAGGAAGATTTAATCTACACAGGGACACAGCAGTAAAAGGGTCACATCCTACTGAGGGTCAGTAACATCCCTCATACTTATTCTTTTCTTTTAGATACACTTAAGCTTTAAGATTTAATTCCTGCCACAGTGACACCCTAAAACACATGGTGTCACCATAGGGAATTACCACAGACAGCAATGAAATCCTTAAGAAGCCCTTCCCCTCTCTATCAATAACTAACAAAGAAAACATTTGGGTGGAGCCGGGGTTTACATTAAGAACACATACATAGTATGACCAGTATGGGGAGCATTTAATATAAAATTAACAAAAGTGTATCAGAAAAACAGTGCATACAGATGTAAGAGATTTGATATGTATCTTGTTTCTTCCTAATATAAAAGTAGCATTCTTGTTTCGTTTTAGCATTTGTTAACTGATAGTGGTGCGCTTAATACAAGTAAACGTTTTTGTGTTGGTTTACCTGATTTGGACCAGTTTTGGTACATTCAGCATTTTGATCACATCCACCATTATTTACCACACATGGATCAATCTCTAGGAAGAAGTACGATAAAAGTAATTATGCAGAAAGACTACATAAAAAAAAACACTGGCTATTATGGGTATGTTGATGAAACAGACCTTATTTCTGACCTGGTTAACATCTGACTCCTAGAATTATCTTGATTGCTTATTTTCTACTACTTACTTAATTACTGTACGTGAGAAATCTGCTAAAACTTAAAACCCTTTTAAACCTTACAACACCAAAATGAATGATATAATTAATACTTAAAAATGTTAACATTCTTGATTATATTTTTTGAACATTTATCTTGATTTGCTCCTCAGATTCCTTAACCACTTCCAGTCTGGACACTTTTACCCCCTTCCTGTCCAGGCCAATTTCAGCTTTCAGTGCTATTACACTTTGAATGACAATTGTGCGCTCATGCAACACTGTATCCATATGAATTTTTTTTGCATTTTTTTGAGACAGATAAAGCTTTATTTTGGTGGTATTTATTCACCACTGGAATTTTGAAAAAAAAGTGTTTTTTCTTATAAAATTTTGCAAATAAATAGTATTTCATCATAAATCTTGGCCAAAATTTATTCCGTTATATTTTTAGTAAAAAAAAAAAAAATAACCCAAATTAGTTTATAATCAAAAAGTATAATTTTTAAATATTTTTTTTAATTTTTTTTATTTATTATTTTTTTTTACATACTGTCACCCTAGCAGTACAGTGTCACCATGGTGACACTGTACTACTTATGGGGGGTGATGAAGATTTTTTTTTTTTACACTGATTGCTTTTACACCCATAAAGGATGTAAAAGCAATCATTTCTCCTTCTCTCTAGCTGCATTCTTGCAGCCATTGAGAACTACTGAGTGAGCTGTGATTGGTCACAGCTTGTCACATGGTACAAGGCTGTTGTGAATAGCCTTGTACCATGTGACCTCTGTGATCATTCACAGATTTCACACGTAGTAAGCAATGATGTCACAAGTGACATCTTGCTTACTACCTTGCATGTGATCACTGATTGGCCAATCAGTGATCACATAATCGGGACCTCGTACAGAGGTCCCGTCTGATGATCGGTGTTCCACTGTGTCCAGAGGACACAGCAGGCACCAGATCGCAGTGCTGCGCACTCCCAGGGAGCACGCACAAGCAGGGCCACCCTAGTCTGCACTGCCACGTATATAAACGGCCGGACGGGAGGTGGGTAAACAAATAGGCATAAAACTAAATTTAAAGGATAAGTTCACTTTTGGGAACATGTTACATGTTCTACGCATTTGTAGGGTGGAACATGTAACATGTTCCTGATCCTGCAGCCGCTGCCTAACCCCCGATTCAGCCACATGGCTGTGTTGTTCATTTACTGTGTTCTGTGAATGAATAGACTACAAGTCTCAACAGCCTTAGCGGCTGTCGACTTGTAGCCCTGAATGAACTACCCTGGCACTGTGAGCACTGTGGTTGTTCATTGAATCTCTCTGTCAGAAGCATTGGCTTGCCCGTACGGGATGTATGAGCAAGCAGATACACTTACAGATCTGCAGGAGACCTGCATGGCATCAGCGGCCTGCTGATCACTGGTGCAATGCTTTACAGGCTTCTACTACAAAAAATAATAAATGCACATGTTTTCACCTGCAAAAAAAAAGTGCTTTTTTTTTTCTTTTTTTATAAAGGTGAACTGATCCTTTAAACTTTGCAATCTTTTGACTTCCTTGACTTGGGCTCTTTAAGAATAAAATGGTCTGCGGGTAGTGGTAAAAAACACTGGGGGGTTTATTTACTAAAGCTGGAGAGTCCAAAATCAGACTCCCTTCTGCATAGAAACCAATCAGCTTCTAACCTCAGCTTGTTCAATGAAACTTTGGCAATGAAACCTGGAAGCTGATTGGTTTCTATGCAGAAGGGAGTCTGATTTTGGACTCTCCAGCTTTAGTAAATAAACCCCTATATGTCTTCACTTTAACATCTTTACCCTTCTTTCTTTCTTCAGGTTTTACCTTCTTTCTTCAGGTTTTACTGAGAAGAGGGTTTATTTTTACTTATAGTGCACTATTATACAAATAACAAGTTAGTTCTGCACTCACCCTAACTATACCCACTATATTAGCTGTTGTATCAATATCATTAAAGATTGTGTATTGTGTATACAAAGTATTGTATATACCATTACAACACTACTTAGATACCACAAACAATCTAAATACCTGCAATAAATATAACTATTATCATTTTGCAATGGAACGGAGACCCATGATACTGGGGGTGCTGGAAGGAGCATGGTTTATTCCAGAGCAATTAAAGAACCGAACATCTCTGGTTGATGAGAATTATAATATTATATTAGAGATGATTGTCCTTACTTAAGGTAAAAAAAAATGGCATATGCGTTTTGCAGCTAGGGGAAGTTGTGGATTTATCAGCACTGTATTCTGGAATCATCAGCACTTTATTACACTTTACTTGAAAGTTTGTTTACTTGCAGCACATGTGGATTATTTTAATCAACCCTGACATGTTGGAGGGACTTACAACTTGTCTTCTTATCTATGTATTTATTTATGTTATTTCTTTATTATATTTTTTACAGGTATTGCTTGGGGTATATGGGTAGCACTGTAATTTTATGCACAATTACACAATGCATTGTAGGATTATTACCCCATCATTCAGAAAACAATACATTACTGTATTATAATCAATTATATACGTAAGGTTATGCTAAATAGAATTATACGTAAAAGAAAACCCTGCTGCCACTAAATATTAGCTTATAATATATAAGCTGGTGTATAAAACAAAAACTCCAGTCTGGTCCCAAACACTCAATTATTGTCCTTTTGGGCACCATCATCTTACCTGTCACACAGCATATGGAAGGTAAAGCCAGGCTGTAAATCACAACCCACAAATTCAATACAGCTCTATCCTTCCAGTAATATCATTTATAACTGCTACCCTCTTACAATGAATGTCTGTGTTCTTCAACTTACTGAAAACAATGCAAGCTTTATATTTAATACAATAACAACAATATAGCAAAGCAAACTTGTAAAAATGTGGAAGTCATTAAAAAAAAAAAAAACAACTTAAGGTAAACACTGCAATAATAACTCAAAATATAAGCTGACTGAAAATATACTATACTTTTCTTTTAACTAAGGAAGTATGGAGGTACGTGTATAAGGCCTCTTGCACACTGCAGCTCGAAGAAGCTCAGTACAGCATTTACTTTTTTACTAAGGTAAATGCAGGTAATTATTTATAATGTGCCTTTGTATGCAGGCACGTAAAAGGGTGCCACGTATTCCTCAGTAAGCAAAAAATAGGAAAATCTGCATTTCTGTTAAGTAATCTACACTGTTTGAGCATAAATATTAATGCATTTTCTCTATCAATATATTGTACATGCAAATGCGTGAACTTGCACAAATATGCGTATAAATACACATAAATACACGCAAAACAAGAGCCTGAAATTACATTTTAAAAAAAGCAGATGTTCAAACATCAGTACCTTGTGCAAAAGGCCTAAAAGTTAAAGACTCTTAAACTCTTTAGCATATCGATGTTCTAAATTGCCTTGTAGTGTCAGTTCGAAGAATAATCTTAAAGCCTTACTAAACCCAGGACCCTGCATTCACTATATCTGGTCTCCCACAGTACACACAACATGGAATTGCAATTATTTTAGTAAATATAAACTGCTAAATACCTTTTCACATCAGCAGTTAGAGCAGTCTTGTGACTTCTATCAGTGTCCAGCCCAGCACTAGCTAAAGCTTGCAGGAGGAGTTTTCTTTCTGCTCTAGGAAGATGGAAAACCCCTGACCACTGTCTGGACAGTGCTGATTGGCCCTGTGCTGATCATGCACTCTCCCAAGGAAAAAAAAACCTCTCTAGCAATATACACCAAACTGAGCATGTGCATGCCCACGGTTCAGTCTGGAGATAAGATAAGTGGTGGACGCTTGAAAAAGGAGGAACCGAGAAGAAAGGATAAAACAGCCTTTTTACACAATGCAGAGGATTAACCCCTTAGGTTCCACAGTGAGTATATCAAGCATGCTTTTCTGCATATACAGATTTTACTGTTGTGGGTTCATAACACTTTAAGGCCCTATTCACACTAGGCCTAGTGATAGCATACATTCCTGCCTGTGTTTTTTTGGGGGCTTTTTTCTTGCAATGTGCAATGTGCATGTGTCAGTTGAATGGGCTGCCCTATGCGAGACAAACACATCAAAGAGGCTCCCACACCTTTCTGGGCGGAGAGATTTGTGCATTTCTTTACTTCATGTTTTGGTTTGTTTGTCACACAACAAAATGCACATCTGCTAGGCGTGTTTGGGGTGCCATCAAGAGGCAATGCCAGCTCATGCCAGACATGCATTTGTAGTGCATTTTTTGCAAGTTTTTGGAATGCACAGACAAAAGCAAGTTTCTGCTTGCGTTCTCAGAATGCACAAGTGTGAATGGGGCCTTATGATGGAAGTTTTAACAAAATGGCTGCGCCATAAAGCATTTCATGTGTGGGAGTCATTTATTTAATATCTTAGAAAGGCTTTGTTCTATTGCATTAAATCAGTATTAGAAACAAAACAAAAATATATTATATTGCAACTTCCCAATCCTTAAATGTGGTGGTTGCAATAGTTTTCCTTTAGGTCCCTCTCAAACTGATGTGGTGCAGTTTGTCTGCACTGCGGGTGCAGCACAATGTACCCGTGGGTTTGGGTTCCTATAGAATTCTATTATGTTCTGCAGTTTTGTTGTGCTTTCTGAAAGCACACCAAAACTCCTGCATGCAGGACCACATGACACCACAACCACACCAAAACCACATGAGAAAATAGAAGTCAATGGGAAAGCACGGCTAACCTGCAGTCTCTTTCAAACTGAGATAATTTTTTCTTACTGTTCTTCTATCAAGGCATTACTGAATGTTTGTGGCCAAATCTGCATTGTCATTGTGTGCAGGAAATGTTGAAAGCAGTCTGTAGACTCACTAGATTTCCAAG